TGCATGTATACATGCCAATTGTGTGCAGGACATGTACCTGCAGAGGCCAAAGCAGTGTGTCAGATGCACTGGAGCTGGAGTTGTGAACCGCCAGAGTGGGTGCTTAGAACTGAACTTGGATCCTCTGGAAGAGCAGCCAGGGCTCTTAACTGATGAGCCATCTCTCAGGTGCCCTGCATCATTAACTTTTATAGAATTTACACTCCTTTAATTGGTTAAGTCATTCTCACCTGACTTTAGTATGAGAAAAAAATATTCATTTTCTGTAAGAAATCTCTGGGGAGTTTGAAATTTTCTTCTCTACTTATCTTTCTTTAAGGTGTGTCTTCCCAATAACACCAGAAAGCATACTCTGTACTTGCTTCTTCTAGATTCCCTCTCCCATCCTGACTAAGCCCTCCCAGTGGGCTTCAAAATCCTTAATACACAGTCCATCTAAAATCTCTTTTCATCACCTAGCACTTTCTATTAACTTAAATTCTGATTTTTTTAGGATTTATTTTATCTTATGTGCATGTGTGAGAACCTGCTTGCTTGTATGTATGTGTACATGCCTGGTGCACATGGAGGTCAGAGGAGGGCATCAGTCCCCCTAGAAATGGAGTTAGAGACGGCTGTGAGCCACCATGTGGGTGCTGAGAATGGAACCTGGGTCCTCTGCCAGAGAAATGCACGCTGAGCCATTTCTCCAACCTCTTAAGATTTAATCCTACAAATTCATTAACAAAATACAGGGTGACAAGGACATTTTGGCGTCCTCATCATGTTTTATGTCTCGAGCAAATTCTAGAGATGCCCATGCTTCTCCATAGTCAGCTGGAGCCTTACTTCATTCCTGAGTGCAGAAACTCTGCTGCTTCTTTTCTGTGTGTAAGTCACCCATTTCTTAGACTTCCTCGAGGCTTCCTTAGATCATCTAACCCACAGTTCCAGTCTCGGCCCATTATTGAGGTCATCCTTTCATTTATACCTTCCTTCTAGCTCAGTCCTCGTGGATTACCACCCACCATCCATTACTGAATGGATTCCATTGGAGATGCTAATGGTGTGCATTTCCTGTTGATTTTGATTGGTGCCCTTTTTGAAAGTCACTTTTCAAACTTTATGCATTCAATGGCATGCATCATCTTGCTTTTGAGAGTTAACAGGTTACATGAGGCAGCCATGTCCTGGCTCCAGGTGGGGGCTAACACTGTAACCATGTGATGGTGAAGTCTTTCTTCCTGAATATTTGAATTAAAGGTGTTCACCATCATGCCTGGTGAATTCTTGATTTTCAAAAAGGATTTCTTTTCATTTAGGTGTATATATGCCTTGTGTGTGCAGGTGCCCATAGAAGTCAGAAGAGGGAATCAGATCCTCTGGAGCTGGACTTGCAGGTGGCTTCCAGCCTCCTGATGTGGGTGCTGAGAACTGAACTCTGATCCTATACAAGGACACTATATGCTCTCAACCCCTGAGCCATTTCTTTAGCTGCTTGTTTAGTAAAATCTTGCTACCAAAGTTCCTTATTGCTATCATTTCATTGAACTTCTATAAAACCAAGAGGATGTCCACTATTGGTTAAAAAAAAAGTAGTAGCATTATGAACAACAAATACACACAGACACACAGACACACATACACACACACACACACACACACACACACACACACACACACACACCATGCCCTCAACTATGCAGCCCTGGCTGATCTGGAACTCACAGAGATCCATCCATCTTGGCCTCCTGAGTGCTGGGATTAAAGGCATTTGCCACTGTGCCCAAATACAGGAAATATTTTTTATCAATGGCATTTTTCATATATCCTAAAACATTCCCACATAATTGTAATGATGTGTAAAGTAAAGACTTTGTGCCTGGCTTTGAGTGAAATGTTTTGGCAAAGCCTTTGCTATGTCTGGGTGAATCAGTAGAGGTAGAGAAACTGTTCTGACACTGTGTAAGCCTTGAAGAAACGCTGTGTCTTTGGAGTCTGCACTTGGTGCTACACAGAGATTGCAGCTGTACTGACCTTGGCCCTTAGACACTCCTGGCAGACCTGGAGCTCTTGCATTTGATTATGGCTGCCTCAGTCAAAAGGGACTGAGATTTGTGGGGGTTGTCTGTCCTCCTGGGCAGCAAGAGCAAGATGGCTTTGGTGGCTGGAATCTTTCCCAGCCCCTATTAACCTTGCATACGTTTGAATAAAGTGACTGGAATGAGCCAGCTGGTAAATGAAGGCTTAGCATCTTGGAGTGCGTTACCTATGGGTGACTTCAAGCAACATATAACCCCACAAGGGGGAAACAGTTTTAGAATGGTACAAGGAAAGAGGACTCACCAAATCTTCGTGCAGCAGTTGGTTCTGAATCTGTTCAATTTTTGCTGATTGCTCTTTCAGTGTGACTTTTAATTTGGAAAGTCGAACTTCAAGCCTAAAATGTATTTGATAATAATTCACGAATATTCTTTAAAAAACATTATCACAATTTCTGAACTAACATCTAAAAGAATAATTTCATTATTACCATTTGAAAAGCATGTGGTTTGGAAGTTTTCATTTTCTTCCTGCTGTGTTTTGTGGATAATGTGCATAATAGTGTAAAAATTACACATTATCTTTTACAGAGTTTGGGATGAAACCCTTCACTTGGTACACACAGATCAAGCCCTGTCCAACTGAACTACATCCAACTGTTAACAATGTACTTCAACTATCTTAATTTTCAAAGAGTTTCCTGGTTTCCTAAAAGGATATTCATTATCATGATTTTCTATACTATACGGTTCTTGGGGTTTTTTTTGTTTTTGTTTTTGTTTTTGTTTTTTACAAACTCATGATACTCTGTGTGCCACTCTACTTTATACCTTTGTAAGATAGCTTGTGTCTTCTCAGAACTCCGTTCTGTCTGTGAGAGTTGATCCTGTGGCCCTTGTAACTAAAATGAGCAATGAAAAAGGAAGTTGTTAATATCATTCAGTTTGCCCTTTACCCATTTTCATCTGGATATTGTCTATGGGAACTCTTGTTCTGTAACAGTAGAATTAACTGAGTTGTCACAACAGGACACCATACCTAAAATAATACTATCTGCCATTTATAGAAAATTAACTGATGTTGACTCCAACACTGAGGCACGCACATATGGGCAGCACAAGGGGACTTGGTGAGTAATAAAATAGAGGAGGATGTGAAGCTGAAGAGAATAGGAGGTTGAGTGGACTTAGGAGGAGTTAGGAGGGGGAGGTAAATATGATCAAAATGCATTAAAAATAATTTAAAACATTTTGAATAAAACTATTGGCATTTCTGCACAAATTATTTTGAAATTCATAAACTAAGATATGTAGATCTATGGCTGAGGATATGACAGTTGAAGAATATTTGATAAATATATATTATGGAATATATTGACTTTCAATGGCTGTGTACATTGAAATAGAGTCATAGTCTTCTTAAATGGAGGGATGTTCTGCTGGCCTCATTTCTCCTCCTTACATAGTGGTTACAGTATTAAAATTGCACACAAATCTCCACAATAACACATGAAGGAGGTTAAACCACTGTCCCAAACTAGAAAATCTACTGTCATAGATGTGTTTGAAATCATTAGAGTGACAAATTTCTATGAAAAACACCGAAAGCCTTTTCTTTGGATTGGCCTATTATGAATGTCATGACTTAGACAGACAGAGCTAAATTAAGAACATTACTGTAACTTGGGTAATAGAAGTAGAATGGTTAGGAATTCAAGACCAGCTTTGGTTATGCCACTACCTTTCTTCAGATATGTACATTATATGCATAAACATAAGCCTCAAATTCTCTGCCTTTTCCACGACACAAGTTTTACACACTGGAAAATGCCTCTGAGCTTTGTGCTCAGATCTTATTGCTAAGATGATTTGTCCCAACACTATCTTTTAAGATGCTGGGATTTTGTTCTTGAGAAACTTGCAGTTGGGCTTGTTTGGGTCCTCAAAAAAATGATTGTTAGAGATTCATATCACTAAGGGTTTAGTAATGAGTAAGCTCCCATACCTCGAAGGCAGCACAGCAGAACCTTAAAAGAAAGCACCAAAACCCAGGCAGATGATGGTGGTGCACACCTTTAATCCTAGCACTTGGGAGGCAGAGGCAGGTGGATCTCTGTGAGGCCAACCTGGTGTACAATGTGAGTTCTAGGACAGCCAGGGCTATACAGAGAAACCCTGTTTTGAAAAACAAACAAACAAACAAACAAACAAACAGAAAACAAAAACAAAAAACAAAACCAAACCCAACAAAACCCTCCAAACCCAAACCAAAACCAAAACAAAATAAAAACCCAAAACAAATAAACAAACAACAACAACAACAAAAATCAAAAACACCAAAGGGAAGTGACCTATTCAAGGATGGATACCCCACAAAATCACTTTAGCTGCATGAATAAGTAAAGTAAGCTTTTCAAAGAGCAAAAGCAGCTGCAAAGACAGGCATGGATAAAACTGGTACTTTATAAAAGATCTAGCAAGATTCGTTACAGATCCAAATAAGGACAGCCCATGTTCTAACATAAAACACTAAATGGTTCTCTAGGTGGTGGTCGTTGGCTAAACTCTAGAGACCTTTTAGCCCTTCCCTCAGGAAACACATGGTGAGCGCCACTAGATGCCAAGCTTTATAATTCACAAACTTAGCTATGAATGTCTTAATTTAACTCTAGAGTGGGGTACTATTTTGTCCTAATTCAAGAATGGATGGCATAACAACATTTAGGTCAACAGTAGACTAAATGCACAGTGTCCACAGTGTTCTGTGAATCACACTATCAAGTGATGAGGCGCATGTCTCAAGTTGGTATAATTGCATGCTTTCATGTTTTCATAGTGATGAGTTGGCAAGTAATATCTTTTTTTTCCTAATCATTTTCTGTTAGTCACAGGTATTTATATAAAAACATATAAGATTGAAGTGATCCAACTAATATCAAACCCACCAGAAATATGAAATTTTACTCACGACCGATTTACCTGTCTCAAACCATTTTCTAGGACCTTTACATCCATATTCGCAGTCCTGTTTTCTGGGTGTTGAGTCCATTCTGCATTTTCATCACACAGCTCCTCTTTCCTGCTCAGCTGCATCTTTTGTTGAAACGTAGACTCAGCATTTTCTTGCTTCTCACCTTGTTTTAAGGGGAATCTGAAGTATTAAAACATATTACATTTAGGAAAATGTTCACTGTGGGATGTGATTTCATTATACTACCCTTCTAAACAATTGAATATGTTGACTTGAAATAAAATTTCATCACCATAAAATGTGCCAGACATGCCTCACAGTGATCTGAATTGCAAAGGAGAACTTCCAGATGGTCACACAGCAGATTCTGTCCGTAGCCATAACCAAGACTAGAAGGAATCTAGTATCTGTTAGCTCTCATTCTGTTTGTTCCTAACATTTCAAGCATATCTCAATGTTATTTATTACATAGGAAGCTTGATGGACTTTTGTGAACAATACATGAACTGATCATTCAGCATGAATGAGTAGCTCTTTAACATTGAAATAGGAATTAATTTTGTCAATGTAGGAAAGAGACATATAGAATAAAATAACCAGTGATCTCCATTATCTTTTTATTTAATTTGTGTTAACAAAGTACAGATGGGGTCTGGTTCATCAGCTTCTACATGGCTTGTCACTCATGGCTACCTTTGTAGGATCCCTGGCAATATAAATTAATTCAAGAGTACAATTGTATAAATTTAGAAATACTTGAGTTGAGCGATAATGATTCTTTCTTACTCTTTGGAATCTGTTACCAATGAATATTAAGCTTTCTTTAGAGCAAGTAAGATGAATTGACCCAAGTCTTTAAAAAAGATTCCTATACTTTGAACAACTAATTGTATATGGATGAATTTTTCCAAAATATTTAGAATTCAGAAAACAAAGTTCAATTGGATTTCTTGCAGCATCAACTGTAACAGAAAAAATATAAGAATAATCACAAATTCTCATTACCAAGTGAAGAGTAGAACTCAACATAGTCATTTGAACTCCAGTTTTGAAGATTATGAATTTACTTATTTAAAATGATCACACCAAAATGAGGTGGCTACACTCTCTCCAATAGGACTCCCTCCACAGGACTGAAAATGTTCTTTCCCTCTTGGGGAAAGCCAAGCAATTATGAAAATCCATTGCAGATCTATAATACAATACGATGGTTCAGAACTAAGATGTCCTGGGGCCAAAGAGATGGCTCAGTGGTGAAAAACCCTGGCTGTTCACATACAGGACCTGGGTTGGGTCCCTAGCACCCATATGGTGGCTCACAATCATCTGTTACTCCAGCTCCAGGGAATCTGGCCTCTGTGGGCAATGTGATACACAGACACACAGGTAGGCAGACACACATACGTATAAAATGAAGATACAAATTTAGAAAACTAGATAAGATATCTTGCCTCAAAGTGCAGAGTTCTTCCAAGTCTACTCTTTTATTCTGTAACCAGGGTTTTATTTTATTAATTTCTGTCTGTTCTCTCTGTATACCACTGGCCATATTTTCCATGTTTTCAAGTTTTCTTGTAAGTAGTTCATAGTGACTGTTTTTAAGCTCCATTTGTCTTTCATATGAATGCACTATATCCCAAAGTTTCAGCAGGCTACCAGAATCTGTATGAGAGAGGATAACACGGGAATGAATTATACATGAGCACATTTTGTACACAGCAACTATGTTTACTTAAAGCTTGAACAATAAGCACTCTGTGCCTATAATGAGGATGTATGGTGTTAAATTCCGCAGATAAAACAAATGAGAGCTTGCGTGATGGCTAGTCTTGGTTGTCAACTTGGCTATGTTTGGGATTAAGTAAAACCCAAATGGCTAGGCACACCTGTAAGGGTTTTTTCCCCCCTTAATCAGGTAATTTGAAGTGGGAAGACCCACCTCTAATTTGGATCACACCTTCTGCTGGCAGCCTATATGAAGGACATGGAAGAAGGAAGCTCTCTCTTTTTGCCTGCTTGCTTTCTATCAAGTCCATGCCTCCACTGGCATTAGAGCCCACTTCTTCAGGATTCCAGCATGTACTGAACACCAGCTGAGGCATCCAGCCTCATGGACTGAACACCTACTGGATCCTTGGACTTTCTCTTGGTAGACAGCCATTGTTGGACTAGCTGGACCACAGCCTGTAAGCCATCCTAATAAATACCCTTTATATAAATATACTCATTCTATACGTTCTGTAACTCTAGAGAACCCTAATACATCTTGCTTTTGTTTAGGTTCAAATCTAGGGAAGAGAAGACACAAAAGAAAATTTATATATTTAGATAAATGCATATTATATTTTCAGATAAATGAGCATTATATATTCAGATAAACACCGTAAGAGACAGTCCTATGATCACCTATGAAAACTGATCCAAAATGGGCTCAAGGAAAATTGTCCCAAGGAAGAAAAGGCTACACTGAGACACACAGAAGGTGAAGAACTTTCTAGCTGGCCCACTCATTTATGGAGAAGAACTCTCTAGCTGTCCCATTCATTTATGGAGACTCCTTGTAATCTACTTCCATCCAAGATGGTGTAATAGGTTCAGATTTCACTTCAACATGAAACAAGAAAACCAAAACATCCGAACTATTTACTTTGACAATTATTAAGACAATGGATTATGAAGATAATGATCTACGATTGACAGAAAACAGATGAAAAAGGTCATCCAATGTCGTGTCTCCCTGTAAAGAGAGGGTCCAGGCCAGAAGAGAGGGAGAAGGAACTGATGTGGAACCTTCTGGACTCACTCTGGCGAGGGAGGTGAATCTGGTAAGACTGTGGCTTGCGGAGACCACAGGACAGCACACAGGAGGGATGAGAGCAGCGTGGCAGAACGCCGCAGATCTGCCGGGACCCCTTCAACAGCACACTGACAGGACGCCTGCAGGAAGGCATCTGCCGATGGTGGAAAGACGTGGAAAGCTTCCACGGAACTGCGGCACTCTCAGAAGGCCAGGAGGAGCGTCCATTCCCAGCAGGTCACTGGATAAACTCTAAGTCAGGGTTAATTGGGTTAGCAGGAAGGTTCTGCTAATTCTGGGGAGAACTGGAGGCTGTCTGAATAGGACTGAATAGGAAGGGTAGAGATGTTTAATGTATCTTAAATGAATCGCTCTTAGTTACTTTTCTATTGCTGTGATAAAACACCATGGTCTAGGCAACTTATAAAATTTTAATTGGTTGGTGGCTCACGCCTTTAATCCCAGCATTCAGGAGGCAGAGGCAGAGGCAGGCAGATCTCTATGAGTTTGAGGCCAGTCTGGTCTACAGAGCCAGTTCCACGACAACCTCCAAAGCAAGGTCTTGAAAACCAAAAAAAAAAAAAAAAAAAAAAAAAAAAAAAAAAAAAATTAATTTGAGGTTTACTTTCAGAGGGTTACAGTCTATTGACCATCATGGCTGTGAGCATGGCAGGAGGCAGGCACAGTACTGGCGCATTATCTGAGACCTTACATCACTTATATCTTAACACATAACCAAGAGGCAAAGCAAAAGAGACACACTGGGAACCACACAGCAGGAGTCCTTGTAACCCTCAAATCCCACCCCCAGTGACGCACCTCCTCTAGCTAGACCACACCTCCCAAATAGTTCCACCAACACTGGGGGCAGGGTCAGGGAGGACTGGAGGCTGTCATTAGAACAGGAAGGAAGGGTCAAGTTGTTTAATGTGACTTAAACATATCCCATATTGAAATTCAAAGAGGGGTAGACTCATGAGAGCTTCCCTTTTAAAAATTTAATTTTTGTTCAAACAAATCCAAATCAATAGGAACTTAAGAGCACAATGGTGGACAAATTTAACTACAGTTTCCCCTCAAACAAGGCAGGTTCAAACAGTGTCAGTCCATGTATACACTCTATTGAGCTTTCATATAATCTGAAAAATTCGCAGAATCACATACCATAGGAATACTGAAGAAACATAAGTTGCATGTCATGAATGTATAAAACATACAAAATAGACTACTTTATAATCTGTTAATAAAAGAAAACATAGGAGGCTGTAACAAGTAGCTTTTCAGAGTTATGAGCATACTTCTGTCTGTCCTAAGTGGAATGATCTGAAGTCAAGACAAATTTAAACTATGGCAAAAAAAAAAAAAAAAAAAAAAAAAAAAAAAGGAGGAGGAGGAGGAGAAGAAGAAGAAGAAAGAGCCACGTTCTACAACCACACTGCCGAAGCAACCTAAAAATTGCCTGCTGCTCATCCTGTTAGAAGCCCCCGTGTGAGGGCATCTGCTTAACCACGATGTGGATGCCTCTTAGCAGAGCAGATCTCTTTGACTCTCAGATAGATTGCTGAATGCAATCCAAATGACTTCTCACAGTTCTCATGTCCTTACCACATTGAATCTGTGTTCACTGAACAACAGTTCTCTAGGAGTTGTGGTTTAGAAGTCAAAGGATGCTTGAAAATTTTGGATTGTCGGAGTTGTCACTTCTATGCCCAGTAAAATGTTACTGAAGAGTCAATAGACTCTAAGTAATTATGTAGCATGACCATGATTGAAAACTTCAGATGAAATACATTGTCAAGCCAGGCTAAACACAAAGTAAGCTACAACTACACCCTGCAACAACAACAAAAGCAAACCACCACCACCACTACCTAAGGGCTAGAGAGACAGATGTTCAGAGGTTCAGACGACTGATTGATCTTGCAGAACACCTGAATTGGATTCTCAGCACCCACATGGTGGCTCACAACCTCCTGTAACTCCAGTTTTAGGGGGATCTGATGTTCTCTTCTGACCTCTGCTGGCACAGCACACACATGGTGAACATGCATACATTCAGGCATACACACATACACATAAAATACAACCTAAAAATGCAATGTAATGCAAGACCATTGTGTTCATGAACTCACAACAGCCCTGGCTATCTGCATATGACCTGAAAAATACTAAGACGCTCAACATTCCAGCATGGACGGAGAGGACACAACCAGAAGGTTGCACACTGCCTGGTTTGTGCATCCAGGGACAAAAACAAGATGCAAAATTTGGGCACAGTGTTCAAAGAAATTATTCACAGACACCATTTAAAATTCCAAACCCACCTACTCAGTAAGGGATGGAACAGTCAGTGGGACAGTGTGCAGCATAAGCATCATTCATCTCATCAATAACGGTCTAAGATCAGAAGCAAACCTTCATAGGGCTATTAAGTCAAAACAATTTAAGAAATGTGTTCCCTGATGATAAAGATATCAAACTGTAATTTAATGATCAAAATTTAATAAATATTGGCAAAAGTATCAAAAAAGACAGTTTATTAAAGGATATATACAATTCAGGCCTGGTGTGTGGTTAGTTTCTGCTGTCAACTTCACATAACCTAGAGTCATCAGGGAAGAGGGGACCTCAACTAATCAATCAGACTGGCCTGTGGACATTCTATAGGACATGGCCTTGATTGTTAGTTGGCACAGAGAGGCATAGCCTGTTGTGGATCGCACTATCCCAGGCAGGTAATCTAAGCTGTATAAAAAAAGCTAGCTGGGTGTGACCCTACAAGAGTCAGTTGGTGAGTTAGCAACAATGTTCTTCCAGTTCCTGCCTTGACTCTCCTCAGTGATGGATTCTGATCTAGAAGTTTGAGTTGAAATAAACTCAGGTGCTTTCATTTGTGTGGGTTATCAAAGTGACAAAAGGAAACCAGAATACACAGTAGCACAGGCCTGTAAACCTAGTTACCCGGGAGGTTGAGGCAGGAGTATCAAACCCTATCAGTACCAGAGCCACACCATGAGTTCTAGGTCAATTGAGGAACTTACCAAGACTCTTTCAAAGGAAGAAAGTAACCAGAAAGTTGGAGATACAGCTCAGGTGTACAACACATGGCCAGCATGAACAAGGGCCTAGGTTTAATCCCCTGAATCACACACACACACACACACACACACACACACACACACACACACACACCATACAAATAGAAAATAAACACATGGAAAGAAGCTTAACATTGACTTTAAAAATACCACTGACTAGTGTTGTAGAATATTAGTTGAAGATGTGTTACATTCATATATGCCGTGGAACATTTGTTTTAATGCTGCAAAGATGTGTTGCATTCTTTAATGTTGCATTTGTTTAACCCTGTGAAGCTGTGGTTCTTTGCCTGTCTTAAACAGCTGATGGTCTAATCAAGAGATGAACAGTTAATAGTGAGGCAGGAGAAAGGATAGGTGGAGCTGACAGGCAGAGAAAATAAATAGAAGGAGAAATCTGGGAAGAAAAGAAGAAAGATCAAGATAAACAAGGAGAGGAGAACGTCAGGGGCCAGCCATCCAGCTACACAGCCAGACATGGAGAAAGAAGTCAAGAAGAGCATACTGAAATAGAGAAAGACAAAAGCCCAGAGGCAAAAGATAGATGGGACAATTTAAGACAAGAAAGAATAAGCCTCTGTGTAGAATTTATTTCTCGGCTAGGCAGACCCCCAAAGAATAAAGAGTAAAAAAAGTTAAAAAGACCAATACTACAACAACAGAATGGGGGAATAAAACCCAACTAGGTACCCCATGTTAGCAAATAAAAACCCTGTATCAGGGATAGGTTACCTTTTTTTGAGCCAAAGGGGTTACATTATACTCTATTGCCAATACTCTTGGTTACCCTCCAGACCCTGACACTAAGACCCTACTGCTGAAGATGCCATGCACTCGAGTAACAGGACATGGAAAAATGAAGCTGCTACCAACCTGGAGACTAGCTGTTATGGCACTGGAAGGTTCTGTAGAAGCTACTGGAGGAGAAAAGTGTTCATCAGGCTCACTCAACTGTGAACCCTGAGGACAGCAATGACTAGCCTGACAAGGAGAAATAGTGGCATCAATGTCGTGGGGTTAGCCAACCACTTTCTGATTGGGTCTAAGGTCTGCGCCATGAGATGGAAACCATACCTAGCACTATTAAAGGGGCCAAGAAATCATGAATAGATAGGTCAGAGGCCCTAGGGAAGAATCTAAAATTATTATTCAGCTAAATTGACTAGGCACTAAAATGACCCCTAATTATTATAACACCAAAATGATTTATTGCTAGACACATAAATCAGAGCATCTCTCAACCCTCATCAGAGAAGCATCTCATTTCAGCAGATGGCGATTAATACAGACTCCCAATAGCCAACGTGTAGACAAAATGAGGCTGTGCAGTAGTGCTTAGCCCCAAACGGGACATACACATCACACCCCTCCCCAAGGATCTTCGAGGAAGAGGACTTGGAAAATTGTAAGAGGGAGAGTTGTGCTTATCAACAAGGGACAGAAGGACAATTACACATATGAAGTCACAGTGGTTATGGCATGTAAAAGACATGCATAAGCTCAAGCAGAAAAAAACACCCCCACACTGAATGGGGGAAAGTGGGCATAAAACCCCACGACTAGCCGAGGAGCTATTGACATTTGATAGCAGTGAGAAGAGAGTCAGTTTTCTTTAATGATGAGACCCCTGGTAGGTCACAAAGATGCCAGCGTGGGTCCCATCCCCAAGACTAACTGTGCAATATGGGGTAGAGGGGGCAAAACTCAGGGTTTGGTAGAAATGGAGGGAAGGGTGGTTTGGGGAGGAACTGGGGAAGGGCTGGTAATATGACCAAAATAGGCCATATGCAATTATCAAAGAATTAGTAAAAACATTGTTTAAAAAAAGTCACGATATACACAGTAGCCATTTAACTGGAATTGTGGAAATGAAAAAAAGCCCATGATACTACTATGTAAAAATACAAAGGAGTTGGACATTATAACTCTCATGTACTGTTGATGTGGGCAGAGAATGATTCAAGGACTTTTCAGATGAACTGGTAGCTTCTTAATGGGGATATAAGACAACTGAAACAGCTGTGGAGGAAGATGCATTGCTACCCACACTGACAATGGTGGTTAAGTGTGTGTTTCAACATCAGACACCTAACACATGATACACTTATGTACATGTAATTTATTTTGGTCAAGAATGTCCTACCTGGTCCCACAGCTGCTTTGCCCCAAATAAGACTTATATTAATTATGAAACTGTTGGTCGATGTCTCAGGCTTCTTACTGGATAGCTGTATCTTAATTATTAACCCATTCCTACTAATCTATGTATTTCTACATGGTCTTGGCTTACCAGAGAATGTCCGGACCTGTTACTCTTTGGACAGCTACACGGCATCTCTTCCAGCCTCTTTCTGCCTTCCCTCTCCAGAATTCTCCTGGTCTCCTGGCCCCGCCTATCTTTCTGCCTGGCTATTGGCCAAACAGTGTTTTATTCATCAACCGATAAGAGAAACACGTATACAGGAGGACATCCCCAACACAAGAAGATCTCAGCAGTTAGTGAAAACACATGGTTCTGTTACAGTAACAAATGTCTAAGGGGTAATGGGCTAAAAAAGAGACCCATAAAAAGCTAGAGCAGCCAGAGAGAGTGGGCTCTTGGTAGAAGTGACAGCTGGGATCTGGACATCAGAGGAACAAGATAGGTTCTGAATTTTCAAAATAGATAGTTCTAAGGCAGAATGGATCAAGATTCAAGGAGGTAGAGTTCTAAGGTTACTACAGCAAGATGAGCAGGCTGTGGATGCTGCTCACATCAGGCACAGCACAGAGGGAGTCCACAGAGCCATTCAGCCTCGAGTTTGAAGTGGTTCTCCATCTAGTATGACATGGAGGTCATCTCTTGTGGGCCCAGGAGCTGAACACTTTGGTGTTTTGTGACTCAGGACTGAGGGATGAACAGATAGGACCCAAATACAGCAGAGGCTTCCTGTCACATACAGCCCCATCTCACACCCCTTCAAGGTGCTCACTCAACTGCAGATGGACTCACAGCAATGACAGGGCAACTCACCATTGCCAGAGGCTGTCGCAGAGGGCTGACTTTGGCTGTTGGCTTCTTCTGTTTCATTTACTTGATGTACTTGAGTTTCCATCTGTAAAATAGTACTAGTTCAAAACGTCCCCCAAATTTATATAGCATGTAGTAAATGCACAGAAGTGCCAGTTTTCAACTTTAATAAAACACATAAGTAGAAATGAAATTCTATATAAAATTGATTTTGTCAAAGGAAACCCTGGTTAATTAACATCTCCAGTTTATTAGTAATTATTAGTTTTGAGACAGATTTTATTATAGCCTAGAACATTCTATGAGCTTAGACTTGAACTCACAGGTACTGTCTCTGGGATTAAAGGTGTGTGCCATCACACCCAGCCCTAATGTCTCATGTTTCTTTATTTTTCAAAACATACTCCTTTACAAAAGTTTTTACTTTACCTCTATATTTCAGTTGCTACCACATCATATTGTCTTTGATAACATATCTTAATAAAATAAGGCTTTGATACATTTTTACTTATAACTAAGCCTAATATTAACAGTTGCTTGCAGTTATTTTTAGTTAAGTATTTATTACTGTATGTAATAAAAAAGCTGCCACACTGTGCATGTGAAGAGTCTTGTTCCCTTCCCCCTTACCATGGGTTCCAGGGATCTAACTTGGCCACTTGGCTTTTTGTAACAAGCATGCTCACTCACTGAGCCACCTCACCAGCATCAGACACTTACTTAAAAAGTTAGCTTAAGGCCTGGAGAGATGGCTCAGAGGTTAGGAGCACTGTGTGCTCCTCTAGAGGACCTGAGTTCAGTTCCCAGCAACCACATGGTGGCTAACAACCACCTGTAATGAGATCTGATGCCCTCTTCTGGTGAGCATGCAGAACACTGTATTATACATAGTAAACAAACAGTTTTTTTTTTTTGATTGCTGGCGGGGGGGGCCGGTGTCCCGGGGTGGGGTGTTGGGGGGGGGGGGGTGGGGGGGGTTGTGGTGGGGTGGGGGGGGGGGGGGGGGGGGGGGGGGGGGGGGGGGGGGGGGGGGGGGGGGGGGGGGGGGGGGGGGGGGGGGGGTGGGGGGGGGGGGGGGGGGGTGTGGGGTTTTTTGTTTTTAAAAAAAAAAAAACCTTTTCCCCCATTTTATGTTGAGGACAGTTCGGGGTTTTTTTTTTTTTTTTTAAAGAAAAAGCCAACTTAAATATTTATTCCAAGTTAGGATTAAACATACATAAATAATCAGAACCTCACAGCATATAGAGAAAGCAGCTATTTCTAGCTGTCTGGCTAATAGGGAAAAGGTGAGCACTGTTGGCCGCTTGCCTGCTTTCCTTTGCTTTTGCTGGGATTGCAGTTCCTTAGACCAAGAAGGGACCTGTGGAGAGGGGGAAGCCCGCCTTTACCTAGCCTGCCAGCTGAGCTTGCAGAGCTAATGAATGAGCTTTTTAATTCTTTTCCAGCCATGGTTTGGGGATCTCTGGGCATCTGTATTGGTAATTGAAGTTTCAACAGGATGGTTTTGGGGTGGCTACCAACTCAGGGTCTCATTGGATTCTCTTCATCCTCTCCATTGCCTTCTTCTCTGTCTCAGGCAAGGAGGAAGCTTCTGCAGAATCATGGCCTATGGCCATGGTACACACTTGGTCTCGCTGTTTAGCTTGTTTCTCTGTACTCTGGTATGCAGCACCCTCCATTGCTCATCCCTGCACAGTGGGCTGGGAAGCTGTCATGGGGTCACCAGATGCAGACACTGGGAAGCTGTAGTGGATGTCACGGGGTCACCAGATGCAGGCACTGGGAAGCTGTAGTGAATGTCATGGGGTCACCAGATGCAGGCACTGGGAAACTGTAGTGGATGTCAAGGGGTCACCAGATGCAGACACTGGGAAGCTGTAGTGGATGTCATGGGGTCACCAGATGCAGGCACTGGGAAGCTGTAGTGAATGTCATGGGGTCACCAGATGCAGGCACTGGGAAGCTGTAGTGGATGTCATGGGGTCACCAGATGCAGGCACTGGGAAGCTGTAGTGAATGTCATGGGGTCACCAGATGCAGGCACTGGGAAGCTGTAGTGGATGTCATGGGGTCACCAGATGCAGGCACTGGGAAGCTGTTGTGGATGTCAAGGGGTCACCAGATGCAGGCACTGGGAAGCTGTAGTGGATGTCATGGGGTCACCAGATGCAGGCACTGGGAAGCTGTAGTGGATGTCATGGGGTCACCAGATGCAGGCACTGGAAACCTTTGCCTAACTTTGGGCCTTTACAGCCTTGTTCATCTGACTTTGGGAACATTCTTCAACTCCTCATTCTTCCCCTGCAACCTCATGATTCTGCTAATTTTGCAGGTGAATTTAGTGAAGGAGCCTGGGCCGTGGACAGTCTCTAGGGTGGGTAAGATCTGCTATGTATTTACTGCCTTGACCTGAGACCACCAGGACCTGAAAATCTGCAGCTACTATACCCCCTTCCTTCTCAGCATCAGTCTCCATTACCTTCATGGAGGAGTGGCTTCCCGGGTTACTCTTTTTGGCAGCCTGGAACACAGAAACATGGTCTCATTCAAACTCTTATTTTTCACACAATAAAACCTAGTGTTGTTTCCAAAATGTTCCTTGCCATGACTATGTCTGTAGGACAGACACTACTCTTGTGAGGACTCACAGGCCCAATTCCCTACCAGATACCCATGGTGTGGGCTTGGGGTGGGCAGTACTGGGGGATGGGGACTGGGAGGCTGCAGGTTCACATCCTGGCGGCTCAGGGTTATGGTGATACGGACGGCAGCTGTGACAGCTGTAGCTCCTCCCAGTGAGATGCCACTCAGCCTGCAGCCCAGGTTCCCCAGGGTCTGCTTCCTTTCCACATCCAATCAAACTATGTTTCTGATTGTTCATTTACAGTACCTTGTGCTTTTCTGTAACTTGTCTCTTTGTAAGCCTTAAAAAAAATAAAATTGTTTCAGGCAAATGTTAAATATGTAAAATAAAACACTGTATTTTTATATAAAAATCTCTGTAGTTATAATTTACTTCACATGTCCATAATAGTTATATTTGACTTAAAGTACAATCCTTTCCTATAAAGTGGATTCAACTATAAACAGAAGTTAAACTTAAGGGGTAGAGAATAATAGTACTTGTGATGTTAGCTCTAATTATCAACTTGACACAAACAGGAGTCACCAGAGAAGAGAATCTCAGTGGGGGATTTCTAGATCAGATTGACCTGAGGTCATATCCATATTGGACAGTCTTGATTACAGATTAAATAATGTGGGAATGCTCCGTCCATGGTGGGTGGCACCATTCCCCATGCTGTGGATCCCACATTGTAGATGTATAGAGAATACAAGGAACCATGCATGCATTTCTCTCTGCTCTTGACTGTGGATGTGATGGGAGTAGCTTTCTCAAGCTCCCACCACTGTGGTAACCCCACAGTGGACTGTAACGGGCTGTGGCCTGGAATTGTGAGCTAAAATCAACCCTTTCTCCCTTGAGTTGCCTGTTGCTTGGGTATTTTATCCTACCAACAGAAACAAAACTAGAAATTACAGTTCGATCAAAGTTTTTCACTAATGCAAAAAGGAAAAAAAAATATGATTTCAGCACAAGGTTTCATTCTTATTGTCATGAAAAGACAACACCAGAATTACAGACACTAAAATTTATTCACAAAGCGTTACTTAAGTCCTCTTCTTAGAGGAACCCCTCTCAAGCATTTATTTACTTATCTATTTAGAGTGCACGAGAATTTGCCTGCGTCTATGTCTCTACATGTATGGCCGGTACCCCCAAAGCCCAGGAGAGGGGTTTGGACCCCTTGAGACTAGGGTTACAAATAGTTCCGAGCTGCTACTCAAACCGAGGTCCTCTTGCACAAGAAGCCCCTGCCTACTTACTGAGCCATGTCTCCCACCCAGAAGCACCCTTCTTTTATAACCAGGGTTAGTACTCTCTATCTACTAGGCAGTGCATGCTAACTCAAGCCCTCTCTCTGTGTCAAGGCTGTTCTTTTCCTCATAATCTCTGGGATAATGTACTAGATAATCTGTGAAGGAAGGATGGTGGTAAGAGAAGGAAGGGCAAGCCACTATGTGAGCACACACAGAGAACTGACTGGTTCAGAAGAGAGCCTTCCTCGGAACCGCTGAGATTGGATGAGATTGTATAAACCATAAATGCCCCATGCCACAGCACACTATGAAAACTATGCATTATGAAGTGATATAACAGCCAATCAATCCATGTTTTCAAGTCATTCATGGTTATAATTACAAACAGTAATTCAGAATCTTGAAATTAACAAAAAGAGGCTGAACTTTGCATGGAGTCATAGGCTTGTAAACGCAGCGTGCACCATAGCGTGATTTCCAGGTCAGTCTGGGAGTCTGAGTCAGACTGTTAAAATGGTGACAAGGAACCTGGGGTGTATCTCAGTGGTGGTATGCTTGCTTAGCATGCACGAGGCCCTAAGTCCAACACTGTCATCAAAGCCTGAAGAACTGGATTTAGAAAAAAAAAAAAAGGCAAATTTGTCATTCTACTTTCAATGACATTAAGTACTCCTTATTTTGAGTATAATGACTCTGTTCTACTTTATTCCAGAAAAGGTAATCCTCATTAGCATTCCTTCACAGGAGATAAAGAATTTACAGTTTTTACCTTCTTTCAGCCTGACCCATTTTACTCAGATGGTGGCCATCCTTCACCAGCAGCAGGCCAGCAGCTTCTGGAAGGGACTTCTCAAACACTGGTGTGATCACAGCTTGTCTGGGGGTCCATGCTTCCCTTTCAGTTTTCCTTATTTCTTTCATACATGTGTCAGGTGCACTCCTTTGAAAAATTCATAAACATAACATTTTCTAGCACATCTGCTGATAAAGGCTGACCAGCAGTTTGGTGACGTTTCAGCTCTTCCCTATCTGAATCCATTTATTTGTTGTAAAATCATTAAAACACCAGGTAAGGACAAGGAAAGTCATATTCTTCTTAAAATAGGCAAACATAGGAATATGAGTTTGTGCGTCATCAATTGTGTCTGACTCTATGCAAGGCTTTACAGAAGAGATCCAATAAAACAAAAGCGCCCACCAGGCAAAAAACAGTAGAAAAACTAGTTAGGGGGACTTCAAAAGGCTAAGAACACTTGTTGCTTTTGCATTAGACCCAGTTTTGATTTCATGCAACCACCCGTATCTGTAGCTCCAAGGAATTCAACATCCTCTTCTGGCCGTCCATTTTCCTAACAGCTGTGGTAATGTGCTGTGAGAGATGGACAATCTGAGTATGTACTGTGTGTGGCAGAAAACTGTGACTCAGTGGGGTTGAGGGTTGTGAGCATTTGAGTGTTATGTGAGGTCTGAGGGAAAACCTGACATGTGTGAGGTTGGAATCACTGGAATAAGTTCAAAGAGAAACAATACGTGGCTGTTTGGGGAACGCGAACACAGTGTATGACTTCGGAGATTGGGTGCATGAGTTAAGAATTGAAATATCTGTGTACTCTGTTCCTCAACCAATAAAATTGCAGTTGTGAAAGCATAAAAAAAAGTAAAAAGAATCATGACTACAATGTTGGCTACTCTTCTCCCCTGGTAATGCAGGTAGGACCTTCCAGCATTATGAAAGTGAGATGTAGGGATAGATATTCCAGGTGGGTAGCAGCTAGATTTCTCAGTGTTTTATAACTCCATATTTGGTGTCGTCAGCAATAGGGTCTCACCATCAAGTTCTGGAGGGCAACAAAGAGCAATGGAAATGGCCAGGATATCTGGCAACAGAGCCTGCATGGCACTGGGATTTTTATTTAATAGCCTATGGTGTCTGTGAGGGACATTATCTCCCATTATAGAGTAACTCCATTTAAGCTTTTATGTCTGTATATGCATATTTTAGGAAGCGTCTAGGGTAGTAAGTTTCCATATGACATTTTCAAAGGTCTTAAATGTTAGTTACACCCCCCCTCCATTTTACCCTGTTACATTATCAGGTGAACCTGATAGAACTACTTTAGTACTACTAAACTGATCTAGCCCCTGAGTTCTTATTTACATCCATAAATCAGTGTACCTCTCAAGCTTCATTAGAGAAGTATGTTACAGTAGATGGTCAGAGATGCACATCTGATCAACATTCACAAAGACTGTGGAGTGCTCAGCTCTAAATGGAACATCAACATCACGGTCCCTGTCCCCAAGGCTCAGGGATCATTGCAAAAGAGGGGACAGGCAGATTATAAGAGTCACTAGTAGTGGGTATCTGCAGGAAAATAATATTTGCTGGACATGACAGATCCAAGCCATGCCTGAATTCACATTGCTGTGACGTGTGCACAAGACCGGTACATGATCAAGTCAATCACAGTTCCAGCATGGGTTGGGGGAGCTCATGGTTGAGAAGCAATAGGCTGTTGATGGCTGCAGAGGAGGAACAGTTAGTTTTCTTCACAGGTGTGGCCCCTGAGAGGCTGCCCCTCCAAGCTCCAGCAGATGGTCTTACACAAATGAACATACAGTCAGCTCTAAAGACACTCAGGAAGCTTGAGGGAGAGAGAAAGAGAGAGAGAGAAAGAGAGAGAGAGAGAGAACATGTATACACATGGAGTGGGAGAGAAAAGTGGTGGTGGCTAAAATAATTATTACACAACAAGTTACCAGTAATTTGGAAAATGAACTTATTTACAAAATTCAACTTTTATGCATGGAGTCAATGTGCTATAATATCTGGTGATAAACACTGAAATAAATTTTCTGTAAAAGAGATTATAGCCGGGCATGGTGGCGCATGCCTTTAAACCCAGCACTTGGGAGGCAGAGGCAGGCGGATCTCTGTGAGTTTGAGGCCAGCCTGGTCTACAGAGTGAGTTCCAAGACAGCCAGGGTTACACAGAGAAACCCTATCTCAAACAAAACAACAAAAAGGGGTTACAGCATGCCTGTAAGTACTTTTAGAAACAGGGTTCACTGCTTTGGCTGCGTCTTGAGTTTCGATTAAATATATACGTCAGCAAAGTAGCCAACAGTGAGTCAGCATCTATGGCACATGGAAGCTGTTCTTTGGTCTTTGAATTTGATTGTTGCTTGTTTTGCTATTCCAGGAAGGCAAATCAGGGCATCAAATACATTAGATAGAATCAGTCCCTGGGTCATTCCCCCACCCCCCTAAATAAAGTTAGTTAGGAACACAGCCACACCCACTGGCTTATCATCCACAGCAGATTCCACACTACAGCAATAGAGACACATGTTCTGCCATGCCTAGGAAGAAGTATTAGTGTTTTCTAGTCCCAATTAGCATACTAAACATACTTTATACAGTCTATTGTAGTTTCTGCCTGATACAGTGACATGCTGACACACATGGATATTCATGCAATCCCTCAGCAGTACTCTAGACTCAGAAGAGAGCCTGGGTGGATTCCTAACACATGGGGAGCAAAGAAGGAAAACTCAGTAGCTTATGATGTTGCCAACAAGTCAGGAGACCAGTAAATACAGCAGCTTTATTTTCCAGCCTAACAACTCATTATATTTTATGTGTATAAGTGTTTTGCCTGCACGTTTCTCTGTGCACCACTTGCATGCCAGATGCCTGTGAATGCCAGGATGCTGTGTCCCCTGGAACTGAAGTTACCAACAGTTAAGAGATGCTGTGCAGGTACTGGGAATTGAACCAGGGTTCACTGCAAGAACAGCCAGTGCTCTTAGTTGCTGAGCCATCTCTCTGGTCTAGAGCTCATTTCTTAAATGGTTACATACAACAGTACTTTGTGTACATAAAACTATAAATATATCCTTATTAATAAATATACTATCTCTGAACTAACAATTCTAGTTTAAGTACCCATACATACTTATGAACATGTAAAATATATAAACATTTTACTATATATGCCTTTGTATTCATATTATATAATGACCATGTATTCACCTATTTGTGTTGTATACAATACGTAATAAATGTCCTTAACATATAGTTTTTATGTGTTTCCAAGCAAAATATCCCTGTCTCAGAAGGACCCTGCACTAGAAATGAAGATTTTTTAGCTTCAAAGAATGACACCAAAGAAATTGTTGATACATGCTACTCAATTCCTCTACTCAGCCATGTCACTGAACAACAGTGTGTTAGAATGGTCATCACTTACATCAGTCAACCTTTACTATTTTAAAAATACTTATAAATTTAATTAGATAAATATTATCAAATTGCTTATGTACTTCTGATAAACCTGAACAGTAGTCCTAGCAGAAGTGTAAAATTTGTTAATCATGCATGTTAGCCCAAAACAGGAATAATTTTAGGGCAAAATGATGATTGACTTTGAACTGTCCCTGCAGTCTTACTTAGCAAGCTCATCTTTGTCCTCAGAAGGGAACAGCTTCTTGGTCCTTCCTCCTTTCCTTTTGACAATCCACCCATTGTCATTGCAGTCAGTGACGGTAAGACACAGGCTCTCTGAGACTTCCACTTCTGGACTCGGCCACTGCTTGCTCATTTCTTCAACCTTTGAAGTAAGTTTGAGGCAAGGAGAAATGTTACTGTTCAGAAAAACTAACTTTTATTGTTTTTACTGCATGATTTTAGTGGATAAGAAGATTTCTGTCGGGCTGGGGAGATGGCACAGGGGTTAAACGCATTTGGTCCAGTTCCCAGCACCCACCCACAAGGCAGATCACAAAGTCTGTAACTCTAGTCCCAGGGGATCCAACGCCCTCTCCTGTCTTCTGGGGGGCAGTACACACACACGTGCACATACATACATACATGTAGGCAAATATTTATAAAGTAAAAATAGATACATCTTGAAAAAAGGTTTTTACTTTAATTTTAGCATAAGAGACTATTGACTATTTTTTTGTAAATTCTGCTGTATTTTATTTCTGTTAAAGAAAGCAGTTCTATAAAACTTGAGAAACAGGCATCCTCAAGTCTGTGTCTTTTTGAACTACTCTTTGCCATCTAGCATTTTCACTGCCTGTTGGATGCAAGAACTGTAAAGGACAGGAGAAAACACGCCACCTTCAGGGTTCACTACCAGGATTGCACACGGGAACATGGGGCAACAGAGTCTGGGAATGTGCGATCATGGGTGCTAGGAGCAGAAATGAGTGTCTTCTCCCCGCACAGCCATTCTCTCCCTGTTTAACACTGACAACTTTTTAAAATTACTTCGATACCGGGGTATCAAAACATGTGAAGGTGCTCACTGACACGGAAACGCCCTGGGATTGACCTGACTGGGACAGAGAGGGGAAGCTGGGATCAGTGGGCCAGGTCTTAACGGAGAGGATGAAGCACTAGATGGATTAGTGTGTTTACGATGTACAGCTGAACAAGGAGGCAGGATGCTACAAATTTGCAAAATATTTTAGTACTTTCCTAGGAGGGGAAATGTCTCATCTATATTTTCCAATATATCTCTAGATTTTTATGAATCTTTACAATTCAAGGCATCTTAGAACTCAGTGTTTTTTTTTCCCCGATGATGTATGTTGTTCTTACACGATATAAAAATCATATGTTCTGAAACCAGATTTACTAAAGAATCTTTTTGATTCACGTGAAACTGTGGAGTATACCTGAGTAATGTGGGAATTACAGCTTCCAATGGTCCAAACAGAAAATGTCCAGTTTGCACACATCAAAGCTCAATGACTGTGTTGGTTTGAGTTTGTCAAACTTCGAGACATTTTTATTTCTTCTTATTCATTGCTTAGTTCCCACCGACAGCTAAACCTGCCTCCTTGGTCCACCCGTTCACTTAACTTATCCTTAAGCCAATGCAAGTACATCTATCAAAAGCCAACACTCATACTCCTCTATGTTTAAGTCAAAAGATCACATGACATGGGATAAACTGATTTTCTAGGTTGTATGCTACTTGAAAGAAAGATTGGATTTTAGACCTAGAGCAAAGGATCACCAGCCATAATTCACATCACCAGAGGAACTAGGATACAAGGTGTATTCTAAGAGATTCATATAAAGTCCCTCACAGAAGGGGGAAGAGACAAGTCCTCCAGAGCTCAGGGGAAGTGGGGGGGGCAGCGAATGGAGAGAGAAGTAGAAGAGAAGGGAGGAGAGGAAAGCACGTGTGACTGGGAAGATTGAGTCAGGGTAGGAATAGAAGACAGGAGAGAGAGAGAGAGAGAGAGAGAGAGAGAGAGAGAGAGAGAGAGAGAGAGAAGGAGCCAATATTGGTTTGAAGATAAAATTGAACACGAAGAAAGGTCTAGAGAACTACAAGACTGCTGCCAACTAACAATTTCAGCTTCCATGGAAAGGCTATCATAAATGCCTTTCCCGGAGAGTGAGATCAACAACTAACTTATCCACCATCATGGAGCCCTCATCTAGTACCTGTTGGAAACAGAAGCAAACACCCATACATAAACAATGAGTCGAACTAGAATCCAGATACAGAGGTAGAGGACAAGACCAGGTTGCAGAAACACATAGAGACAGCTTACCTGAACAAGGAGGAGCTAACGGGTCCCCAGACTGATAGCTGGGAAGCCAGCATGGGACTGACTCAGACCCCCTGAATATGGGTCTCAGCTAGAAGGACTGAGCAGTCTAAGGGACCTCAGACAGTGGAGCCAGGATGTATTCCTGGTGCACAAAAGGACCTTGCGAACACATCCCCCATGGAGGGATAACTGCCTTAATCTAGAGACAGGAGAGAAGCCCTAGTCTCTACTTCAAATGACTTGACAGATCTACATGACCCCACCTGGATGGCATTCCCCTACATATGGAATTGGGGTGGGGGGATGGGAGGGGAGGGTGGTTAGGGTGCCTGTGAGAGGGCACAGAGGGTAAGAGAGAAGAAGAGAGGAAGGGAGGAAGGGAGGGAGAGGGAACTGGGATCAACATGTAAAATAAAAAAAATAATAAAAAAGAAAGAAAGATTGGATTTGATTAGTGAAAAATTATTCTGAAAACATTTTTCTTAACTTTTATTTAAATAGTAGAAACCACCTCTACCTAGACAGTTTCATACATGGATAATTCCACTGTTTAGGGGAGTTCTTTTTTGGTTTATTTGAAACACAGCCTCTCTATGTAGCTCTGGTTGTCCTAGAACTTGATCTGTAGACCAGGCTGACCTCATACTTGCAGAGATTGTCTACTCTGCTTCCCATGTACTGGGATAAGAGGCATGGACCGCCATGCCAGTCTGTATGGAAGATTTTCATCAGCAAAAGTCAGTGTGATTGATTTTTGAAAGCAAAGCAAGAGTGGCAGCATCGTTTTGAAAGTGAAAATTTTCTTTCTTTTTTATCTTTGAGACAGGGTCTCACTCTGCAGCCCTAGCTGGCCTTGAACTCACAGAGCTCACTTGCCATTGCAGCAAAAGGGCAATCCCCAATTATTTATATTATCTTATCAAGGTCTTTAGTTGCAGAAATGCTGTGATTAAAAAGTATTGTTATTTGTATAGGTGTTGTGTATTTTTACTGCTTGCATATGTGTCTGTGCACTACGTGTCTGGCATCCAAGCAGGCCAGAAGAATGCATCCTCAGGAACTGGAGTTACAGACGGTTGTGAGCAGCCATGTGGGAGCCTAGAATCAAATCCAAATCCTTTAAAAGAACAGCCTGTATTTTGTGTAATTTCAGCCACAGAATTCATTTCTTTGTGGTATGTAAGCCACTGACTGCCCTTTAGGTTTACTAGGCTTGGAGGAGCCTGTCTTCACAGTGAGCACAAGGCATTCATGGAAACCACTCAGGGCTCAAGGAACACTGTGAAAGAAGGGGCAAAAAAAAAAAAAAAAAAAAAAAAAAAGATTGAAAGATAGGGTGATGGCTGTGAAATGCCATCCTGGACTCAACAAAAGCAATGCAGTCATTAACTTGCAACAGCTGTGGCCACCTGCACTAGGTTTACACAAGACTGGCCTGTCAATAATCAGTCATGGAAGGGGGAGGGGCTCAGGAGTCCACCTTTTACTGCTAACTATTGGGAGAAGGGAAATCATGGTCTTCAGTTGTGTGCTCACAGCTGAGCCCACCAGGCATCAACAGATAGCTCTGGAAGCATGGTTATACAGATACCCCTTGTAAAACTCAGTGGGTCACAAAACAACATAAATAGACATGGATATGAGAGAGATTATTTTTGGGAACAGACTTAATTAATAAAAAACGCTTCATGGTATGTACCAATTTATGACACTGAAATTGAACAATATAGAAAGTGACTGTTTATACAGTTATATACTTGACTACAGTTGAAGTATCTCCCAGCAGGTATGAGCTTATCTTTAAGCCTACTATCTCCTTCAGTACAGATGCTAAAAGCAATTACTGACCAGAGACACTATTAATCCTTTGAATTTCCCACTAGTCATCGCAGCTATGATACAGTAAATTTAAGCCACTCAGCTACATAGATCTATGGCACAAGCTGACCTTGCTTCATCTTGAGAGGAAGCTGCACTCAGAAGCAGAGAAATAATCCAAAAAATGTCTACTCTCAAGCAACAAATTTTACTGACTATAGTTTCTAAGAGTACACTGTTTTACAACTTGTTAAATGTTTAAAAATAAAATGTCAACTATGATACAAAAATTGCTTCTGAGCCAGGCACACACCTTTAATCCCAGCCAGCTCTTGGGAGGCAGAGACAGGTGGACCTCTGTGAGTTTGAGGCCAGCCTAGTCTACAGAGCAAGTTCCAAGACAGTCAAGGATACATAAAGAAATCCTGTCTTTACAAGGTCCCCCTTGTAAAGAATAGAGGAGAGTAAGAAAAGAGATACAATAATTGAGAGGGCCATTATAGGTTTGAAGAGAAATCTGGCACTAGGGAAATGTCCAGAGAGCTACAAGGATGACACCAACTAACAATCTAAGCAACAGTGGAGAGGCTGCCTTAAATGCCCTTCCCTGATAATGAGATTGATGACTACCTTATATGCCATCCTAGAGCTTTCATCCAGTAGTTGATGGAAAAAGAAGCAGACACCCACAGCTGAACACTGAGCTGAACTCCTGGAATTCAGTTGCAGAGAGTGAGGAGTGATGAGCAAAGGGGTCAAGACCAGGCTACAGAAAGCCATAGAGACAGCTGACTTGACAAGGGGGAGCTCATGGACCCAAGACTCATGGCTGGGAAACCAGCATAGGACCAACCCACGTCTCAGTTAGAAGGCCTGGGAAGTCTATAGGACCTCTGACAGTGGAACTAGGATGTATCCCTGGTGCATGAAAGGACTTTGGGAACACATTCTCCATGGATGGATATTCCCTTAACCTAGAGGCAGGAGGGAGGGCCTAGGCCCTACCCCAAATGACTTGACAGATTTTGATAATCCCTCCTGGAAGGCCTCACCCTCCCTGGGGAGTGGGTGGGGAATGGGATGGGATGGGAAAGGGGGTAGGGGTGGGGGAAATGGGAGGACGGGAGGGAGAGGGAACTGGAATAGATACATAAAATAAGAAAAAAAAAATAATAAATTAAAAAAATAAAAAAGAAAAACTGACTTGAAAAACAAAAACAAAAATTGCTTTTGAAAAGGTTATTATGAAAGTACTATTTGAAGTATGGCAACATTATCAACACAAAGAAAACCCGAATGAGAATTTATATTAAAATCGTACATACTTGTAGCTGGTTATTTTCACTGCCATCAAGACTCTTTTGTTCTGACTGGGTTGTCACCTCAGAGTCCAATTCTGCTGTAATACATATACATTTCTCTTTAAAAAAAAAAACACTCACTTAGAAGAGCAGCACTTAAAAATAGATGAGAAGATGGTAGGACAGTGATGTCACATGCCTTTAATTCCAGCACTGGGGAGGCAGAGGCAGAGGCAGAGGCAGAGGCAGAGGCAGAGGCAGAGGCAGAGGCAGAGGCAGAGGCAGAGGCAGAGGCAGAGGCAGAGGCAGAGGCAGAGGCAGAGGCAGAGGCAGAGGCAGAGGCAGAGGCAGAGGCAGGTGGATCGTGGTGAGTTTGAGGGCAGCCTGGTCTACAGAGCAAGTTCCAGGACAGGCTCCAGAGCTACAGAGAAACCCTGTCTCTAAAACCAACCAACCAACCCACCAACCAACTAACCAACCAAAAAAACTAGGTGAGAAGAAAAGTTCTAAAAGAATAATGGCTATTTTCAATTTCAAATTAAAATTTTAAATCAAGCTTAATACACAGGTAGCTCCTTTATTAGAAAATATTATAAGCAAGCTACTCTACACACACACACACACACACACACACACAGACATACACCCACACATGCACACACACCCCTACACACACACACACACACACACACACACACACACACACACACACACCCCTTTTGCAATATTGGACTTGATGGAATCTTCTCCTAAATGGGAAAAACTGTGACTATCCCATACAACATCAGTTCAGACAGTAGTGAGCAGCGTCTCCTCACCCATGCTGGGAAGATCCTACAGACCCAAAGGCTTGGCTTTGTGAAGAGGATTCTTAGAAGCAAAACAGTGAAACAGAACTGGAAAAACTCACAACCACACCTTTTTTCCCCCCTCATGTTATTAATTACTGATTCCAAAATCAATAGGATGTTTTTGCACATTTATACATATGAATACCCTATTCCTTTCATCAGAAGTATTTTTGTTCATTTTGTGACAATTTCCCTTTTTTGGCCATATGCCTAGTCCTCACAGATAATGACTACACAGATACACAGATGTCCTTCCTATGGGCTCCCTTACAGTTTAGCTACGTGTCTACTCTGTCTCCAACAACAGAACTCAAGTTATTTACTAGCATTCAATTCCTGAGATGGCTCATTTGGTAAAGGGCCTGATGAACAAGCATGAGGACCTGAGTTCAAATCCCTAGCAATGACTTAAAAGCTGAGTGAGGTTGCACAAATCTGTAACCTAAGCATGCTGGCCAGCCGCTGTCGGTAAGTGATGAACTCTGGGCTCAACGAGGGATGATGTCATAAGAGATAAAGTGGGGGTGAAGTGGGGACCACAAGATGGCTCAACGATAAAGACGCCTCCTGCTGGGTGATCCCTGAGCCTTACACGATATAGGCAGAAAACCGACTTCCACAAGTTGTCTTCTGACCTCCACATGTGTGTTATGGCACATTCCTGTGTGGTACACACACACACACACACACACACACACACACACACACACGCGTGCACAAGAGAAACAGGTGATTAAAGAGAAAAAGAAGATGAGGTAGGGAACAATAGCCATAGAGGCTAGGAAGTGGTAGCACACACCTTTAATCCCAGAACGCACGGAACAGAGGCAGACAGATCAAGACTACACTGGGTTACATGAGAGCGAATCAGTCTAAGAGAGAAACAGAGCTCATGCCTTTAGTCCCAGCACTAGAGAGAATATAAGGAGCTCAGTGCAGTTCGAGAGAGAGAGCAGTCTGGTTTCTGGCGGAGAGCTTTGCAGTCTAGGCAGCCTGAGGGACAGTGTAGTCTGGAGGTACAATCAGAGGACCAGATCGCCCTTCAGCCTGAGCATTGGTGGTGGTGAGGACTCTCTAGCGGCTGGCTGCTTTGCGCGTCTGATCTTCAGGTAAGCTTTATTAGATCCTAAACATATCACTACAAGATGTAGCTAAACAGACTGGGGATTGGAGAAGGAGGAAAGCTGATGGACAGCCTGCTGATTCCAGAGATTGGCAACCTTGTTTGACGACAGCCTGCTTCCAAAGTCTTCCATTTTGGACTCTGGCCTCAAGTTGCCCTTATCAGACAACTCACATTAAGATTGCCAAAGGAATGTTTAAGTCCATGGTAATATTTTTAAAGGCATATTTCTTTTTTGATTTCTTAATGACAAATCCTACTTTTTCTTCTTTCAAGCCTTTGAAATAATGTGAATAACATTCTCCACAACATTAACCTGTACACCTATGTGACTGAGCACACACATTTACATTTATTCATGATTAAAAATGTAACACAACTGTGTGTGACCTGCCTCCTTAGGTTTCTGGGAAAATCTCAACAATGGGGAAGACAGGAGTGAGAGGACTTGGTTCTATTTGAGGCTGGAGGCTGTCTCCCAGTTCGTCCTGTGTTCCCTAGCACTGGTATTTGTCTTTGTGAAGAAGGGTTCTAATCCCCCCTTCACTGGACAGTAAAGTCTTGTGCCCTGCATCCGCACCTGCCCTATTGGCCTCTCCCCCCTCTCATTTCTAAGTCCTAATTTCCCTCAGATCTTGGAATATCTGTACATGAAACAACTTGGCTGCCCTAGAATGACAGACATCCAATTCCCACTTCCTTGTCCTTTCGTTTCCGTGTATTTAGTCAGTACATTTCTTTGGCTGTAGGTTACATTTCTATCACTCAGTGGGTGAGCTTCCAGTGACTTTCAGGACTAGCCACTCTTACCTCCTGTGTGTTCATTTTCTCTGTATTTCCCCTTTAGATCTGTGGCATCAGATGAAAATCCCTCATACTTGTTTGGAAGATTCTCACAGACACTCTGAAAAAAATTAATGTCCATAATTAGTCTGCAAAGATCCAATCATTGCATAAGAAGGTATCTGAAGTTTTCCTATTTATTTTTTCCTTAGTTATTAAAAAATTGTAGATGAAGAATATCACACACCGAAATTAACCAGACCCAAGGACAATACAATTTAATAAGTTCTTAATGAAGTTCCTATCTCCAGAGCACATGGGGAGTGGGGGGGGCAGTGAATGGAGAGGGAACTAGGAGAAAGAGAAGGGGAGGAGAGGACAGCAGGTGGGACTAGGAAGATTGAGTGAGGGGAGGAACAGAAGAGAGGGGAGAGAGGAAGAGAGAGGGGAGAGAGAGAGAGAGAGAGAGAGAGAGAGAGAGAGAGAGAGGGAGGGAGGGAGAGAGAGAGCTATTATAGGTTTGAAGAGAAAACTGAACCTAGAGAAATGTTCAGAGACCTACAGGACTGACCCCAACTAACAATTTGAGCAACAGTGGAAAGGCTACCATAATGCCCTTCCCTGATATGAGATCAACGACTAACTTATCCACCATCATGGAGCTGATGGAAACAGAAGCAAACATCCACAACTAAACACTCAGCCAAACTGGAATCCAGATGCAGAGAGGGAGAACAAGACCAGGCTGCAGAAACACATAGAGACAGAGGAGCTAACGGGCCCCCAGACTGATAGCTGGGAATCCAGCATGGGACTAACTCAGTCCCCCTGAACATGGGTCTCAGCTAGAAGGCCTGGGCAGTCTAAGGGACCTTAGACAGTGGAACCAGGATGTATTCTTGGTGCACAAAAGGACTTTGGGGACACATTCCCTATGGAGGGATACTCCCTTAACCTAGAGACAGGAAAGAAGTCCTAGTCCCTAGTCCAAATGATGTGAGAGATTTAGATGACCCCTCCTGGAGGGCATTACCCTACATGTGGAGTCGGGGGGTGGGGGGTGGGGATGGGAGGAGAGGGTGGTCAGGGGGCATGCGAGGGTGGGAGAGAGGGAAAGAGAGAGGGAGGGAGGGAGAGAGAACTGGAATCGATATGTAAAATAAAAATAAAAAATAAATTAATATATATATATAAAGAAAAATATCACACACTGAAATTAACCAGATCCAAAGACAATACAATTTAATGAGTTCTTAATGAAGTTCCTATTTCTAAAGTCACTGTTTTAAAAATAGGTGTATGTTGAGTTCCAGAACATCTCTGTGCAGCATCTTTTGTACAGTCAAAACTTTGTCTTCATATGGTAACCAAACGTTGTGTACCGATCATGGGATCCGTGACCATCAAATACATGAACCAAAACTGGATGGCATGCACATGTCAACAAGGAGCTACACTAAGGATCCCTGCCTCTGATCTGCATTGTCACTGAAATTAAATGCCTATATAAAAATTTAAATAAAATTTCATATGTATAGTGCCTTTAAAATAGATGAGGGCAGAAAAACATTCTATGTCTTTGAGAGAGTATCTTTTTATGTAGCTCAGGCTGACTGGTTGGTGGCCTCATCACATTGTGCTCTGGCCTCACCCCTACCAAGTGCTGGGGTTACTAGCCTGCGCAACCAAACCCAGAAAACACCCAACTGCTTCTCGTGAGCCTGCTTTGGTAGCAAAGCTCCATACTCACCACCACGAGAGGCACTAGATTACATCTTGGTGAACATAGGCACAGGTGGTAGAACCTTCATCTAGGTAAACAAGAGCTTAGACAATCTAGATATACAGTGGAAAGTTACTGATGGAGGTGCTTGACTAAAATGTGAAAGCAGTAAGGAAACCTTTCACATAATGTTAAAACCCCTGGGAGAGGCTGCAGAGGTGGCTCTGGCTAGTCTTCCAGAGGACCCAGGTTCAATTCTTAGCACTCATATGGTAGCTCACAACCTCCGTAACTCTAGTTGGACATATGTGTAGGCAAAACACACACTTAGAAATAAATATAAATCTAAAAAAGGGAAACCACTATGCAAATATTAGACCTGCCGAGGGTTTTTTTTTTTTTCTCCATTACATAAAGATCACAGAATATTTCAAGTCTAGAGAAAAAGGGATGTTAAGAACAATTACTTATACAGAGAATGGTGGCTCACATCCTTAATCCTAGCACTGGGGAGGCAGAGACAGTCAAATCACTGTGACTGGTCTACAAATAGTTCCAGGACAGCCAGAGATACACAGAGAAACCCTGTTTTGAAAAACCAAAAACCAAACCAAACCCAACCAAATCAAACCAAACCACTATCACCACAACAAAACCTGACAGTTATTAAATGTTTACAAAATGTCAGGTGCTTCTAGCATCTCAAATGACACTCGAGGTGGTTGAAGCAGCTGATGTCATGGCACTACGTTCCATTGCTTAGGAAATAGAGCCATCTACATGGCTACGCAATATCGTGCATACGTAATCCGATTTTTACTAGTGAACAGTTGTCGCTAACAGAAAATCGGAATGAATCTCATGTCAGCAAAAGAGCAACTACCTCGTTTTCTAGGTGGACTTTCTCCCAAGCCAGGATCTCTTCCTCTAATATGCGGAACTCAGTGTCGGACAGCCTGTCCTGAAAATCTTCATCCGCAAAATTGCTTGCTGTCCTGCCACCAGGCGGCGTGGCACTGATGGTTCCCACGGTATGTACGGGAGCTTCGCAGCAGCTGTGGAGTGGCTTCTGTGTGCCTTTAATTTTCTTGTAAGTGTCGCAAAGGGTAGAATCACCCCAACTTTTTAATTCACTCACGTGATTTCTTTCTTTGGCATCCGAAAGCCCTCTGGACTCACTGAACTTCGGCATGTATCTGATATCTAACGGCCAGTCCATGTGTTTTGGTTCTGTAGATTTTTTCAACTTGCTCTTGAACTCACAGCCTTCTTGCTTTTCACCCAGACACACTTCTGGGCATCTACATCTTATCTTTTTACTTTCTGTATTTTTAGAAGATTTCTCCTTGCATATATGAAGGGATTCCTCTATTTCAAACTTGTTACCTTCATAGTCTAATTTATTCTTCCTTAAGGGAAATTTAGAGATTGACTGGCCACTGTTTTCCACAACCTGAGAGGACCAGGGACATGGAAAGACGTTTCCAAGGCCACCTTCCTTCTGTTCGGGAAAGGTCTGCGGTGCTTCAGACACCAGCGCTGCAGCCCCATCTCTGTCCTCACAATCAAGCACATCACCGGCCAGTTTAGGGGAGGCCAACCTGAGGGGTGGTTTTCCTGTACAGTCATCACGTGATCGCTCTTCCTCTTGGTGAACATAGCTTTTGACAGGTTCACAAACATCACCAACCTTCTGGCTTAGCTTGTTTACAACAAGTTGCAGAGCGTCTTTACCCTTCAGTTTGTCTCCTATCAACGCTCCCCTGAGCACTTGCCCCTTAGCAGATCTTGAATGTTTGGCCATATTTTCTCCATCAGAAGATGTGCTCATCTCTGGCTCCTGCCCTTGCTCTTGGAGTTGTAAAGGGGGAGCGCTTGTCTGCTTGCCTGGATGCTGGGATGCTCTCTGAGGCAAGGAATGTTTCTCTAACTTATCCTTGGCCTTGGAAATCATAGCACATGAACAAAAATATTAAAAAAGGTTTAATGTGCACCATTTGGCTTTTCATAATATATATTTATTTACACAGAAATCACACAAACAAAATTAACAAACAAAACTACTTTAGTGCCAGTGAGATGGTTCAGAGAGGAAATAACAGTGCTTGCTACCAAAGACTGACATGACAGTCTGAGGTCATACCCCCAGAATCCTCCAAAGAGACAACTAATTCCCCCAGGTTGTTCTCTGATCCTCAAAGGTACTGAGATATGTGCATGCTCCCACAATAAATAAATAAATAAATAAATAAGTAAGTAAATACATAAATAAAAATACCTTATATACCTGAGTCCACCCCATAGAGAACATAACCCAGGAGACTTAACTACTTAACACTACTATTTAGACTAATTCTCACTTGGTGTGTGCTAGGTAATTTTAAATACCACAAGAACATTGTCACATAAAAAGTTTGTATTTCACCATTCCTAAAATATTGAGCCCCGATGTTCAATGGCATTTATTTAGTCTCTGAAAATCAGTAACTGAATAGTAGTAGAGTTAAGATGTTCACTTCCAAAGGGTGACACCATATGTGCAAAACAAATTAACATTATAAGAAGACAATTTTGACGTGATGTTTGAATAGCCTGCAGATGTGATGGTTTCCTAAGCTTTGCCAGTTGAGATAAGTTTCAAGAAGTATGGCAAGCCTTACCAAGAACAGATGCCTGGGAACACTGATGCATCAAGTGTCTAAAACATGCCAGGTCCTTCTCTGTGCATGGGCCACATGCACCAGAATCTACAGGTGGATTCTGGGGTATGATCTCAGACTGTCACTCTTTGGTGGCAAGCACTTTTGTTTACTCTCTGAACCATCTCACCAGTCCTAAAACATGTCAGGTTCTTCTCTCTATAGTCAGGAGAAGAAAATGACTTTGGAGGTGATTGTTCTATTGCCGGTTTCTCTGTTATTTCAGGATATTAAGAGGTAAACTATGGAAGGCTGGAGAGATGGCTCAGTGGCTGTTCTTCCAGAGGACTGGAGTTCAATTCCCAGCGTTGTCACTGAGACTACACATATAACCCCAGTTCCAGGGAATCTGGTGCCCTCTGCTGGTCTCCATGGGCACTGCATGCATATGGTGCACAGACATAAGCAGGCAAAACACCCAAAGACTAAAAAGAAATAAAACTGATCGTCTGACCTTCCTTTCTGAATCTCATTAGGACTTTTACACATCAAAATATGCCAAAGAATCATAGGGAACATCAAGTAACCTGGGATCATTCTTCAGATTGTAGAATTGTAGATATTAGTCACAGCCCACCCCACGCATGCACACACACACCATAACAGTTTTATTAAAATGACTCTTACGGAGTAGCAGAATTGTACTAATCATCCATATGAAGAACCAGGAACCAATCACCAGGACTGAGGTAGGGAGTACACACTACCTTGTTAATTCTACATGAGAAATGTGAGGAAATAATTCTCGGCAGGCATGAAGGGTCACTATGTATGTCCCCTTGGCTGACTACCTCAGCCCTGTGTGATGAGGCACGCACCAGTATGCCTGACCCCCGTTCATTCTGTAACATCACTTGATGCTTATTTAAAAATAATAGAACACTAAGGAACTAATACTTCAGAATCTCAAGGCAATTTTTCATCTGTCTCCTTGACTAATCCCAGTGTTCATGTGATCTCTATAAAATGTAGTCTCATGTCAACGAATTATGACAATTATTACTGTGATTTGAAAAACATATACATCTCGCTCTAGTTACCTCTATGAAATGACAGTAACAGCAAAAGAAAATTCAGAGATTTGAAATCTCTTCAGAAAGAAGGTCACTTTACAAAAGAAGGCAGCGCAGGAAGCCTGCAGAGGTGAGCCATTCTTTTCACTAGTTTGTTCTTTGAATGGCGTCCTTTGCTATACAGAAGCTTTCCAGTTTCATGAAGTTCCACTTGCTGTTGGTCTTTGTGTCTGTGCTGGGGTGTCCTGTTCCACAGGTCTATTCCTCACATTCTGTCCTATCAGATTCGGTGTATCTGCCCTTATGCCGATGTCCTCAACTCATTTGGGTTGAGTTTTTGAAAGGTAATGAGTGTGGATCTATTTGCATTCTTCTACATGGAGCGATCCAGTTAGATGAGCACCATTTGTTGAAGATGCTGTCTTTTCTCCAGTGTGTCTTTCTGGCTTTTTCTTTTAGTCAAAAGTCAGGTGTCTGAAGGTGTGTGGACTTATTATGTCTGGTTCTTTGTTCTGATTCCATTGATAAGTGTGTCTGTTTTTAGGCCAATACCATGTGGTTTTTATTAGTATATCTCTGCAGTATAACTTTAAATCTGAGATGGTGATTTCTTCAACAGTTTTTTTTTATATTATTCAGAGTATTTTAGCTATCCTGTTTGTGTGTGTATATGTTTCCATATTAAATTTAAGATTATTTTTTCAATTTCTGTGAAGAATTGTGTTGGAATTTTGATGGGAATTGCATCAAATCTGTAGATGGTTTTTGGTAGGATGTCCATTTTCATTATATCAATTGTAATGATCCCATCTTCTGATGCATTAATTTCTCTCCTCAATGTCTTAAAGTTTTTATTGTACAAGTCTTTCATTTGCTTGGCTAGAGTAATTCAAAGATATACATTTTCAAAGTTGTTCAGTTTCCACGAATTTGTATACTTTATGCTGTTGTTAATATCAAGCTTTGATCCATGGTAGTTAGATAGGAAGCAGGGTGTCATTTCAATTTTCTTGCATCCATTGAGACTTGATTTGTGTCCCAGTATGTGGTTAGTTTTTGAGAAAGTTATGAGCTGCTGAGAAAAAAGTTTATTCTTTTGTGTTTGGGTAAAGAGTTCTGCAAGCATCAGTTAGGCCCACTTGGTTTATGATGTTGTTTGTTCCAGCATTTCTTTGTTTAGTTTTTGTCTAGATGACCTGTGTATTGGTGAGAGTGAGATTTGAAGTTACCAACTATTACAACATGTGACTTTAGCTACAGTAGTTTTAGTAGTTTATTTTTTTATTTTTTATTTTTACAAACTTGGACATCCTTGTATTTGGAGCACAAATATTTATAATTGCAATATCTTCTTGATGGATTTTTCCTTTGATGAATATGCATCATCAATATAATAGCACCTGACTTCTCAATGGAGACTTTAAAAGCCAGAAGGGCCTGGACAGATGTTTTAAAAACCCAGAGATGTGAGACCAGAATACTTATCCTGCAAAACTATCAGTCATAATCAACAGAGAAAGAAAAGCATTCCATGATAAACCATAGTAGTTTCTATCAATCCAGTCCTACAGAAGGCACTAGAAGGAAAACATCAGTCTGGAAGGTTAATAACACTCTAGAAAACACAAAAAATAATGCTAGACCAGTATATCAAAGCGAGGGATTCTCACAATAAAAACAAAGCAGGAATCAATAAGCAATGCTTCCCTATCCCTTGTGGTTAGTCTTGCTTTGAAGTCTATTGTGTTAATATTAAAACGGCGACATCTGCTTGCTGTAGTTCATCTGCTTGGAATCCCTTTTTCCATCCCTTTACTCTGAGCTGATGTCTGTCCTTCTTGGTGAGGTGCTTCTTGGATGTAGCAGAAAGGTGGATCCTGCTTCCTAATGCAAGCTGTTAGTCTGTATCCTTTTTGTGGGAAATTGAGACCATTTATATTGGAAGCTCTTAATAAGCATTATTTATTTATTCATTTTTTGTTTTTTTTTTATTGTGGAAATTTCCCCCTCTTTTGATTTACTGGCCTAGGATTATTTATCCCTTGTGTTTTATTGAGTGCTATTAACCTTTCAGACTGATGTTTTCCTGCTAATGCTTTTGGTAGGACTGGACTGATAGAAATTAGTGTGGTTTTATCATGGAATATTATTCTTTCTTTGTCAGTTGTGACTAATAGTTTTGCTGGGTATAGTATTCTGGGCTGACATCTTTGGGTTTGTAGAACATCTTCCCAGGCCCTTCTGACTTTCAGACTCCACTGAGAAATCAGGTGCTGCTATAATGGGCCTGTCTTCATATGTGGCTTCTTATTTTTCCTTTCTTTGTTCTGTACATTTAGTGTTTTTATTATTATGTGTCATAGGTGATTTTCTTTCCTGGCCCTGCTTATTTGCTGTTCTGTATGTTTCTTCCACACTGATAGATACTCCCTTCTTTAGGTTAGGGGCATCTATGATTTAATGGAAAACACATTCTGTGCTGTTACCCTGGGTTTCTTCTCCTTGTTATTCTTAGGATTGGTCTTTTTTTATAATGTCTTGTATTTCCTGTATGGTCTGTATCTGGACGTTTTTAGATTAAACATTTTCTTTAAATGAGGTACCCAGTTTTTCTATCTTGTCTTCAGTGCCTGAGATTCTCTCTTCTGTGTCTTTTAATCTGTTGGCGAGTCTTATCTTATTTGACATGTTAAGGTTTTCATTTCCAGTTTTATTTCAGCTTGGGTATTCTTGGTACTTCTATTTGTTAAATTTGACTTTCATGTTTTGTATTTTTTTTATTATTTCCTTCAACTGTTTGCTGCATTTCTATCGTCTCCAGTAAGGCATTTATTAATATCCTCTTTAAGGTCTTGAACATATTAATAATTGCTATTTTGAAGTCCTTGTCTTGCGCTTTTCAGCTAAACCGCCTTTCCCAGGCCTATTGCTGTAGTGCTGATGGCTTCTGGAGGAAGCATTTTGCCTTGACACTTTGTGTTTGTGGTTTTGTTCTGGGCTTGAGGCATCTGGAGTTAGGATATTTGAGTTGCTTGGTGTAGATGTCTGATTTCATTTTGTTGGTTGACTGTTTGGCTCATTGGTTGCTGTTGCTCACTCCAGACCCTAGGCAAGTGTGATGGCTGTGGGATCTATGTGTGTCTATGGGTTGATGGATGATATAGAGGCATGGAGATGAGCAAGAAGGAAAGAGTAAGCAGGGCAGCAGCAAAGACTAGAGGGACCCTGGGGCCCCACCAAGAGGTGGCATCCTCAAGAAATGGCAGTAAGGTGTTAGGGGAGGAGGGGTTCTGCTGCACAGGTCTATGAGTAAGTCTGGAGAGAAGAGGATGACGGGGTTAGAGAGACTCTGGGTCTGCCACTTTATGTGTGTGTGTTTTTTTTTTTTTTAATTTTTTTTTTTAAATTTTGCATGTCGATCCCAGTTTTCTTTCCCTCCCTCCCTCCTTTCTTCCCTCCCCTCCCTCCCTCCCTCCCTCTTACCCTCTCTTCCCCTTCACATGCACCCTGACCACCCTCCCCTCCCATCCCCCCACCCCCATTCCACATGTAGGGCAATGCCATCCAGTTGGGGTCATGTAGATCTGACAGGTCATGTGAAGTAGGGACTAGGGCTTCTCTCCTGTCTCTAGGTTAAGGCAGTTATCCCTCCATGTGGGATGTGTTCGCAAGGTCCTTTTGTGCACCAGGGATACATCCTGGCTCCACTGTCTGAGGTCCCTTAGACTGCTCAGTCCTTCTGGCTGAGACCCATATTCAGGGGGTCCTGAGTCAGTCCCATGCTGGATTCCCAGCCATCAGTCTGGTGGCCCGTTAGCTCCTCTTTGTTCAGGTCAGCTGTCTCTATGTGTTTCTGCAACCTGGTCTTGTCCTCTCCCTCTGCATCTGGATTCTAGTTCAACTCAGTGTTTAGTTGTGGGTGTTTGCTTCTGTTTCCAACAGGTACTAGATGAGGGCTCCATGATGGTGGATAAGTTAAAGTATCATGTGATGTTAGACATGTAAAACTTTACTTTAGAATCACCCTGGTTTTCCTAATTCTGTACTAATAGCAGGCACATAGTTCTTCTTAGCTTTTTCAGATGCTATGGAAGTTAAAGCTAATAAAATCATACATTTATCACTATTCAAATATTAGATTTACAAACCTCCAAATACTTTCCAGATACTGTACAAATATTGGAAACTTAGACCCAACATAGACACACTGCCCTAGTCAGTTCCACACTCAGCTGTGACACCCATAGTCACTAAATCTTTACATGTGGGTTCTTTTGGGGGTGCTTAAAGGATACAATCCTGAGGGTCCCTGAGTTTCAAAGTTGAAAGAAATTTTATGTTAATACTTAAATATCGATATTGAGGCAGGGCAGCCATGGGGTAGAGCACTAATTACATACACATGGATCTGGGCTCAAACACACAATTAAAAGGAGGAGGGGGAGCAATAAATACTAAAGGCAATCAAGCTTTTGGAGAGCGCTACCAAGTGACTTTAGTAGAAGGGATACTTGAAAATGCTGACAAGTGTTTTTCAGAGAGAGTGTAGATTCTATTATTGCCCATCTCGCTTTTCATTCTTTGATGACAGACACTGACTCTTAGAACATACCACAACTGTTAAGTGGGTCACTGGATGTGCCCGCGTGTGTTTCTATAGCATGGTGACATTATTATGAGAAGACAAATCTGAACTGCACACAAAAATGCAACATCTACATTTTAAAACGCTTTTTCTGTTTTTTTTTGTAACTTTCTTTTAAAATTTAAATTTGAAACAAGCTTGTTTTACATGTCAATTCCAGTTTCCTCACCCTCCCCTCCTTCCCTGTCCCCCCCCAAGCAATCCCCATCCCATCCCCTTTCTGCTCCCCAGGGAGGGTGAGGCCTTCCATGGGGAAACTTCAAAGTTTGTCATATCATTTGGAGCAGGGCCTAGGCTCTCCCCCATATGTCTAGGCTGAGGGAGTATCCCTCTATGTGGGATGGACTCCCAAAATCTATTCATATACTAGGAATAAATACTAATCTACTACCAGAGGCTCCATAGACTTCCCAGTTCTCTCAACTAACACCCACATTCAGGGGGTCTGGGTTGGTCCTATGCTGGTTTCCCAGCTATCAGACTGGGGTGCATGAGCTCCCCCTTGTTCAGGTCACCTGTTTCTGTTGGTTTCTCCAGCCTGGTCTAGACCCCTTTGCTCATCACTCCTCCCTCTCTGCAACTGGATTCCAGGAATTCAGCTCAGTGTTTAGCTGTGGGTGTCTGCTTCTGCTTGCATTAGCTACTGGATGAAGGCTCTAGGATGGCATATAAGGTAGTCATCAATGTCATTATCGGGGAAGGGCATTTAAGGTAGCCTCTCACTATTACTTAGATTGTTAGTTGGGGGTCACCTTTGTAGGTCTCTTGATATTTCCCTAGTGCCAGATTTCTCTTTAAACCTATACTGGCCCCCTCAATTATGGCATCTCTTTCCTTGCTCTCCTCTATTCTTTCCGTGACTCAATCTCCCTGCTCCCTCATGTTCTCTTCTCTCCTCCTCTTCCCCCTTTTCTTTCTCCTAACTCCTTCTCCCCTCCCCCCATGCTCCCAATTTGCTCCAGAGATCTTGTCCCTTTCTCCTTCTCTGGAGGACCATGTATATCTCTCTTAGAGTCCTCCTTGTATCCTAGCTTCTCTGTGGCAGTGTGGATTGTAGGCTGGTAATCCTTTGCTCTACGTCTAAAATCCATATATGAATGACTATATGCCATGTTTTTCTTTTTTTGTTACTGGGTTACCTCACTCAGAATGATTTCTTATAGTTCCACTCATTTGCCTGCAAATTTAAAGGTTACATTGCTTTTTTTCCACTGAATAGTACTCCATTGTTTAAATACACCACATTTTCTTTATCCATTCTTCAGTTGTGGGGCATCTAGGATGTTTCTAGGTTCTAGCCATTACAAATACTTCTGCTATGAACATAGCTGAACAGATGTCTTGGTTGCATGGATGTGCATCTTTTGGGTGTATGCCTGAGAGTGGCAATGCTGGATCTTGTCATAGACTGATTCTCATTTTCCTGAGGAACCGCCATACTGATCTCCAAAGTGGCTGTATGAGTTTACACTCCCACCAGCAGTGGAGGAATATTCTCCTCTCTCCACATCCTCTCCAGCATGAGTCGTCATTGGTGTTTCTAATTTTAGCCATTCTGGCAGGAGTAAGATGGTATCTCAGAGTTGTTTTGATTTGCATTTCTCTGATGGCTAAGGATGTTGAGCACTTTCTTAAGTGACTTTCAGACATTTTAGATTCCTGTATTGAGAATTTTCTATTCAGTTCTGTATCCCACTTTTTAATCGGACTATTTTGTGTTTTGGTAACTAGCTTCTCGAGTTCTTTGTATATTTTGGAAATCAGCCCTTTGTCAGATGTGGAGTTAGTGAATATCTTTTCCCATTCTGCGGGTTACGGTTTTGTTTTGTTGACCGCGTCCTTTGCTTTACAGAAGCTTTTCAATTTCAGCAGGTCCCAAATGTTCTTTCTTTTTCAAGTATAACAGATGAAGAATCCTCTGCATTGCTGAGAGTGTGGCTTAGTAGTTGGTTTGATAACCAACACCCTAAAGACAGGATGTAGGAATACAGCGGACACCTTCATTACTACGCTGCTAATAATTCTTGTTTTTCTTATGGTATAATTAATTTTCTTAAAGTACCACAGTAAGGGGTAGAAATATGACTGGGTAGTTAAGAGCATTGGCTGTTCTTCTAGAGGTTTGTTTTCAGGCACCCACACCAGGCAGCTCACACAACCCACATGTAACTGCCTAACTCCAGTTCCAGAGGATCCAACACGGCTCTCACCTCCACGGGTAAAAGCATACAAGGTGCCCATATGCACATACATACATACGAAAATAATAACAAATATTTAAAAAACTCTACATGATAATAAAGCAAAAAACCATTGAAGTAATAAAAATCTACATGTCTCCATTAGGTAGTTAGAATCATAGGACATCAGAAAATTCCTTGGTCACTATGATAAATTACCATACTAAAAAATTTAAATTTATTTTATGTGTATGAGTGTTTTGCCTGCATGTATGCCTGTGTGCTATGTGTGTGCCTAATTCCTATATAAGTCCGAAGAAGGTTGTAGTGGGTGGTTGTAGTGCAGACCTTTAATCTCGGCACTCAGAATGCAGAGACAGGTAGATCTCTGAATTCAAGGGCAGCCTGATCTACAGAATGAGTTCCAGGACAACCAGGGCTATGCAGAGAAACTCTGCCTAAAAAAAAAAAAAAAAAAAAAAAAAAGAAAGAAAGAAAGAAAAGAGAGAAGGGGAAGGAGGAAGTAAAGAAGGAATGAAGGAAGGGAGGGAGGGAGGAAAGGAAGGGATGGGGAAAGGAAGGTAGGAAGGGACGGACATCTGAATCCTGGAACTGGCACTGTGTGGTTCTAGGACCCATATCTAGGTCTTCTACAAAAACAGCAAGTTTTCTTAACCACTGAACCAGCTCTCCAGCTCTGTGACTAGATTATTTTTGTAAGCATGAATATAAATAAAATTGTATTAGTGCATTAAAAAATGACCTAAAATTATTTGCCCCATAAATACTCCCCAAGGTTTAATTTTGCTATGTTCTGGGGGAAAGTTTACCTAATTTAAGGTTCACAACATTTTGCATTTTTCTTACCATTTCTTCCTTCAACCCCTGCTGCCTCAAAGTACTTACTATCCCTCAGTGAGGGTTCAAAGTGTAAGCCAATTGACTAATTCTGATTATGTAGGATGTTTTCTCTGACCAACTTTCAGTATAAAGGATAATAAGTAGATTGTTATTGAATTTAAGGATAAATGTTAAAACAATTCATACTCAGAACAAGAAGACTAACCTCAAAGAACTTTACCTTTGTGTCAAAATTATATTCGTCCTTTCTTGCTGTGGGCTCAGCATCACTACGATCAGGTTTGGTGAAGAACCTTCAGGATGAAAATGTATAATAATGAATGAGTTCTGGTTCTTTAAAAACTGGCTCTTCCCATCTGTGATATTGTTGGGCACACTGAAACTGTGTTATGTAGAAAACCTACTTCTCTGTGCTGAGGTTCAACAACTCGTTTTACACTATAACCACTATACTTTTCTCAGAGAGAATTAGCAAGGTTTTTGTATTGGTCTTATGAAGAACATATGTGATTTGAATGTTTATCAATGACAGTCTTCTAATTCATTTGAAGCTAACCACATATAAAACATTTGTCTTTAATAAATGCACAGGTTAAGATCAATCCATTTTGTAGTTTTTCATAGGAACTGGAGAATGCTGTACCAATAATACTATAATCAGAAAATTATGAGTGTATTATCTGATTAAAGTCAAATATAGTTGGTTATGAAATATAGGAAATAGAATTGTAGGATGCAGGAGACTATATCAAGGTCAAATAAACTGCTGCCACTTAGTGTGCCCAGATAAGTCTCTAAAATCCTGATACCATGTGGACTTTCAATCGGCTCTATACAAGCAAAGGAATATGTGTCTGTAGGAAATAAGATAAAGTAATGCAGGAAAACAATAGCAACAAATGTGCTCGTTGTCAATGAGAAGACAGTAGACAAAATTTAAGGAAGCAGGCAGCAGTAGTAGTTCAATGGAGATATGAATGGGGTGTCAGAAAAAAGAAGCCTATAGCAGTGGTGGCACTTGAGAGACAGAGACAGTGAGATCTCTGTGAGTTTGAGGCCAGCCTGGTCTATAGAGTGAGTTCCAGGATAGCCAGGGCTACACAGAGAGACACTATTTAAAAAAATAAAAAGGAATTCAAATAGCTTCTGGACAGATTTAAACATTGCTAGCTGAACATTCTCTACATATTGAAATGATTTACTACCAGAAAAATAATTTCTCTCCAGAAGCTACATGATTGTGTTATGTTTAAAATCAACGGCACCATGGTCACAGGTTTGAGACCTGCCCTAAATCCTTCCCTGGTGAAGACAGGCATTGGTTATGCCTGCAACTGTAAAATTATTAAGACCATGATTAGAGCACCACCATGCTTGGTGGGAACACTGTACATGAGTGTGCACACACCTGGACTTTGGGAACTGATGCTATATGAAGTAATTTCTTGGGTCTATTGATTATGCAGAAGAGCAAGAAAACACCCTGAGAAAGTGCACAGGCTAATTACATGAGCCAGCTTCCTGACAATTACAGGAAGTACCAAGTGTCAGGTATGTCATGTGGCAGTGAGCCAGAGAGCACTAACAAACTCTGGTTTCTGTTTTCTCTACTTAAATTAATCTTTAAAGCCTTACCTTAGTATAGAGCAGGATTTAGAACTTTCAGCTGCTTTTAAAGGTAAAGGAAAAGTATATTATTAGTCAGCAATATAAAATAATAGAAAAAAAAGAGGTAAGTATAATGCATTAAAACTCTATAATGGTTCTAGTTCAAGTTTGACTCAGTGTTTAGTTATGGGTGTTTGCCTCAGTTTCCAACAGGTATTAGATGAGGGCTCCATGATGGTGAATAAGTTAGTTGTTGATCTCATTATCCAGGAAGGGCATTTATGGTAGCCTTTCCACGAATGCACAAATTGTTAGTTGGCGTCAGTCTTGTAGGTCTTCAGACCTTTCTCTGGGTTCAGTTTTCTCTTCAAACTAATATTGGCTCCCTCTTTTATGTCCTCTCTCTCTCTCTCTCTCTCTCTCTCTCTCTCTCTCTCTCTCTCCCTACCCTGACTCAATCTTCCTAGTTGCACATGTTTTCCTCACCTCCCCCTCTCTTTCTCCTACTTCCATTCTCTCTCTCTCCATTCACTTGCCCCCCCCCCCACTTCCCCTGAGCTCTGGGGGACTTGTCCCTTCCCCCTTCTGTGGGGAACTTTATGTGAATCTCTTAGAATACACCTAGTATCCTAGTTCCTCTGGTGGTATGAATTATAGGCTGGTGATCCTTTGCTTTAGGTCTAAAATCCGTATATGAGCGAGTACATACCATGTTTCTCTTTTTGTGACTGGGTTACCTCATTCAGGATGGTTTCTTCAAGTGCCATCCACTTGCCTGCGAATTTCAAGATGCCATTATTTTTTTCTGCAGAGTAGTATTCCATTGTGTAGATGTGCCATTAACCATTCTTCAATTGAGGGGCATCTAGGTTGCTTCCAGGTTCTTGCTATTACAAATAGTGCTGCTATGAACATAGTTACACAGATGTCTTTGTTGCATGGATGTGGATCATTTGGGTATATGCCTAAGAGGGGGATTGTCGGGTCCTGTGGTAAACTAATTCCCATTTTCCTGAGGAACCGCCATACTGTTCTCCAAAATGGCTGTATGAGTTTGCACTCCCACCAGCAGTGGAGGAGTGTTCCCCTTTCTCCACATCCTCTCCAACATGAGTCATCATTGGTGTTTCTAATTTTAGCCATTCTGGCAAGGGTAATATGGTATCTCAAAGTTGTTTTGATTTGCATTTCCCTGATAGCTAAGGATGTGGAACACTTTCTTAAGTGTCTTTCAGCCTTTTTGATTTCCTCTATTGAGAATTCTTTCTTCAGTTCTGTACCCCATTTTTTAATAGGGTTGTTTGGTGTTTTGTTGACTAGTTTCTTGAGTTCTTTGTATATTTTGGAGATCAGCCCTTTGTCAGATGGAGGATTGATGAAAATCTTTTCCCAGTCTGTGGGCTACCATTTGGTCTTGTCCACTGTGTCCTTTGCCTTACAGAAGCTTCTCTGTTTGAAGAGGTCCCATTTATTAATTGTTTCTTTCAGTGACTGTGCCCCTGGAGGTTTGTTCAGGAAGCAGTCTCCTATACCAGTTTGTTCAAGGGTACCTCCTACTTTCTCTTCTAAGAGGTTCAATGTGGCTGGATTGATGTTGAGGTCTTTGATCCATTTGGACTTGAGTTTTGTGCATGGCGATAGATATGGATCTATCTGCAGTCTTCTACACACCATCATCCAATTGTGATAGCACCATTTGTTGAAGATGCTGTCCTCGCACCATTGTATAATTTTAGCTGTTTTGTTGAAAATCAGGTGTTCATTGGTGTGTGGGTTAATATCAGGATTTTCAATTTGATTCCATTGGTCTACCTGTCTTTTTTTGTGCCGATACCAGGCTGTTTTCAGAACTGTAGCTCTGTATAGAACTTTATCATGAAAGGGTGTTGGATTTTGTCGAAGGCTTTTTCAGCATCTAGGGAGATGATCATATGGTTTTTCTTTTTCTGTTTGTTTATATGGTGGACCACGTTGATAGATTTTCGTATGTTAAAACATCCCTGCAATCCAGGGATGAAGCCTACTTGGTCATGGTGGATGATTTCTCTGATGTATTCTTGAATTTGATTTGCCAGTATTTTATTGAGTATTTTTGCATCGATGTTCATCAGGGATATTGGTCTGTATAGAGCTTAAAGTCAGGAATGATGATGCCTCCTGAAGTTCTTTTATTGTATAGGGTTGTTTTGGCTATTCTAGTTCTTTTGTTTTTCCATATAAAGTTGATTATTATCCTTTCAAGGTTGGTGAAGAGTTGTGCTGGGAATTTGATGGGGATTGCATTGAATCTGTAGATTGCTTTTGGCAAGATTGCCATTTTTACTATGTTTATCCTACCTATCCAAGAGCATGGGAGATCTTTCCATTTTCTGGTACCTTCTTTAATTTCTTTCTTTAGAGCCACAATTTTTTTATTATTTTATTTTATTTTATATAACAAAGTCCAATTAAATGAAAACAAACATTTATACACAATATTTGGGAATTTGAGCATCGTTCTTTCCAAACTACTTCCTGCTGGTAAGGGGCACTATCATGGGGGATTCGAAGAAGATTTAGAAATCCTGAGCCACAAATTTTTTATTATATAGGTCTTTCACTTGTTTGGTAAGCGTTACCCCAAGATACTTTATGTTGCTTGTGGCTATTGTAAAGGGTGATGTTTCTCTGATTTCTTTCTCCGCCTCTTTGTCGTCTGAAAAAAGTAGGGCTACTAATTTTTTTTTTTGAGTTTATCTTGTTTCTTGCTAGTTTGCTGAAGGTGTTCCCTGGTAGAGTTTATGTAAACTATCATATCATCTGCAAATAGAAACAGTTTGACTTCTTCCTTTCCAATTTGAATCCCCTTGATCTCCTTTTGTTGTCTTATAACTTTAGCTGGAACTTCCAGTACAATATTGAAGAGATATGGAGAGAGAGGGCAGCCTTGTCTTGTTCCTGATTTTGGAGGAATTGGCTTAAGTTTCTCTCCATTCAGTTTGATGTTGGCAGTTGGTTTGCTGTATATTGCTCTTATTATGTTTAGGTATGTTCCTGTTATCCCTGACCTCTCCAAGACCTTTATCATGAAAGGGTGTTGGATTTTGTCGAAGGCTTTTTCAGCATCTAGGGAGATGATCATATGGTTTTTCTTTTTCTGTTTGTTTATATGGTGGATCACGTTGATAGATTTTCGTTTGTTAAACCATCCCTGCAATCCAGGGATGAAGCCTACTTGGTCATGGTGGATGATTTCTCTGATGTATTCTTGAATTTGATTTGCCAGTATTTTATTGAGTATTTTTGCATCGATGTTCATCAGGGATATTGGTCTGTAGTTTTCTTTCTCAGTTGTGTCTTTATGAGGGTTGGGTACCAAGGTTCTTGTGGCCTCATAAAAAGAGTTTGGCAATGAACCTTCGTTTCTATTTTGTGGAACAGTTTGAGGAGTAGTGGTATTAGTTTTTCCTTGAATGCCTGGTAGAATTCTGCATTGAATCCATCTGGCCCTGGACTTTTTTTTGTTGGAAGGCTTTCCATGACTGCTTCTATTTCATTGCGGGTTATAGGTCTATTTAAGTTGTTTGTTTGTTCTTGATTTAATTTTGCTAAGTGATAGTTACCCAGAAATTTGTCCATTTTCTTTGAAGTTTCAATTTTTGTGGAACACAGGTTTTCAAAGTATGTCCTGAAAATTGTCTGGATTTCCTTTGTGTCCGTTGTTATGTTTCCCTTTTTGTTTCTGATTTTGTTAATTTGCATTGATTTTTTGTATTGTTTTCCTGGTTTCTATTTTGTTGATTTCAGACCTCAAGTTGATTATTTCCTGGCGTCTACTCCTACGGGGTAAGTTCACTTCTCTCTGTTCTAAGGCTTTCAGTTGGGCTGTTAATTCTCTTATGTGACTATTCTATGTTTTCTTCATATGGGCAGTTAGTGCAATGAATTTCCCTTGTAACAGTGCTTTCAAGGTGTCCCATAAGTTCGGGTATGTTGTGTCCTCATTCTTGTTGAATATTAGAAAGTCCTTAATTTCTTTCTTTATTTCTTCTTTGACCCAGGAGTGGTGCAATTGCACATTGTTCAGTTTCCATGAGTTTGCAGGGTTTCTGCTATTTGTGTTGTTGTTGAATTCCAATTTTAAAGCATGGAGGTCCGATAAAATACAGGGGACTATTCCTATTCTCTTCTATCTGTTGAGGTTTGTTATTCCACCTAGTATGTGGTTGATTTTAGAGAAGGTTCCATGTGGAGCAGAGAAGAAGGTATATTGGTTTGTCTTTGGATGGAATGTTCTATAGATGTCTGTTAACCCCAGTTGAGACATAACTTCTGTTAGTTCTTTTGTTTCTTTGTTGAGTTTCTGATTTTTGGTCCTGTCTAGTGTTGAGAGTGGTGTATTGAAGTCTCCCACTATAAGTGTGTGAGGTTTTATATGAGCTTTGAGTTTTAGTAGCGTTTCTTTTATGAATGTGGGTGCCTTTGTATTTGGGGCATAGATGTTTAGAACTGAGACTTTGTGTTGATGGATTTTTCCTGCAATGCATATGAAATGACTCTAACTCTCTGAATTTGTAAGCCCCAAATAAATTCCTTATTTTATAAATTGCCTTGCTCATGGTGTATCTTAGTATTAATAAAAAGGTAACTAAAACAGAGGTGTTAGGTTCAAGGCCCATAACTAGGGAATAAAATAAAAATGTTTCCAAAAGGAACTTCACTGGGTTGTAAACTTACAAAGCATGCTAATGTTCATCCCTAGTGTTCTTTCATGTGTAACCAAATACCTCTTATTCAGATTCTTCCTGGTGACTGTCAGCTATCAACTTGACACAACCCATCACCTTCTAAAGGAGTCTAAATTGAGGAATTGCCTACATCAGATTTGCCTGTGTCCATGACTGTGAGATTGTCTTGACTGATGATTGATGTGGGAGGACTCAGCCCATTGTGGGTGACACCATCCCTAGGCAGGTAGGCCTGGGCTATATAAGCAAGCTAGCTGAGCATGAGCCAGTGAGTAAGCCAGTCAGCAGTTTTACTCCATAGTTTCTGACTGAGTTCCAGAAAAGCAAACTGGAACAAGACTCTAGCCTTATTTCCAATGGAAGGATAGGTACACAAGTCATTGTGATGGCCATTTTCCAATATATGAATTCTGAACAGTTTATACTCCCATTTTTTGCAAATGGGGCAGGATGGTCATGTTTCTCCTGGGTATTGCAGCATAATGTCATTCCTCTCAGCCATTCTCATACTACTGCATATCTTCAAAGAAATAAAGTCTTTGCACACCTGAAAAGCATTCCATCAGAGCTCACACCCATAAATAATAATGAAAGAAACTACAGAAGACAGGCGTATTTCAGTGGAAGGACACTTATCCAAAATCGGGAAAGCCCTAGGTTCAACCCCAAAATCACAAAAGGAAAACAAGTTTTTTTTTCAGGTTACACTGTGTCAAAAAGCAAAATACATTTATTGATTAACTTACTGAACAGCTCTAATTCTAGAGAAATAAGCAATTTAAAAATACAAAATCATTTTATGGGTTCACTTTGTAAACACCACTTTCATGGTTTTATTTACTTAATTTTATTTTAATTATTTAATTCACTTTTTTAACCAAATAAAAGATTATGTAGAATAATTCCTAATCCAGGCCTTACCTAGATTGCTTTCTTGACAAGTTTTAAGTCCATTTTCTTCATATTCTAAAACACTTTGTCTTTTTCCATAAATGAGAAACATGATAAGTATTAATTACTATTTTAGCAGAGGTATTAAAACATTCATTAAAGACTTTAAATTTCTTAAGGAATGTTTTATTAAATACAAGAGAAATTGTCACCTATACTTCAAATGTTCAAAGCCTTAAAGTTTTGTGGCAATTGCAATTAAACAAACAAACACATAAAGATAAGAATAAAACCAAGTGATACAGTCACTAACCAATGTCTGAAGATCACACATCTACCAAGTGTGAAATCTAGGAATGAAATGCACTCTTGGATGAATCTAAAACCTACTTGTGTTGTTGTTACCATCCACCTATCACATACATTCACCGGAAAATGGTTAATGCACATAAAGATAGTTTATGCTCAGCATAAACAGAAAGCCTCACTACACAGAAAGCCTAACACATTATTTAAAAAAAAATTAAAAAGACCTAAATGGACTCTGGTAGCCACAATGAATAGTCACTCAGAACATTCCTCAGAGATAGCAGTCTAAAGCTCAGTCATCCAAACGAGAATGTGATTTTCAATTCCTGTTATGTTTAAAATGTGCTTTTATAAGACATGCACATGAGAAGCAGTGATAAAAAGAAAATAAGATGTTCATGCTCAATGTTGAATAAAATATGATCAAGTCTGTATTTTACAAAATTAGTAAAACTAATGAGGAATCCTTTAGCATCATGTAACATGCAACTGTATGAATAATGGGTACCATGCATTATTAAAATGGAGTATCAATCCTTTCCAATACTTCTTTTTTTTTGTGCTTGCACTAAATAGTTCATTTATAAATTACTTATGCTTTATGTGGTAGTTTGAATGTAACTGGCCCCCATAAGCTCATAGGAAGAGGCACTATTGGGAGGCGTGGCTTTGTTGGAGTAGGTGTGGCCTTGTTGGAGGATGTGTGTCACTATGGAGGTGGGCTTAGAGGTTCCATATATGTTCAAGCCACATCCAGTGTCTCAGTTCACTTCCTGTTGCCTGTGGAACAAAGATATAGAACTCTCAGTCTCTTCTCCAATTGCATGATGCCACCTGCATGCCACCATGTCCTGTCATGATGATAAAATGGACTGAACCTCTGAACTAGAAGCAAGCCACTCCAATTAGATGTTTTCCTTCATAAGAGTTGCTGTCATGGTGTCACTTTACCGCAATTGAAACCCATCGAAGATACTTTGTTAGATAACTATATTTCATAAACTAGAAACAAAATTTGTTCCTCTCTACTGAGTTTTTCAGATCACAGCACTGACTGTAACCACCTGGAACACAACAACTCAGAGAAAAGAGGAAACGAGGGTACCCATCCAGCTTGACATCTGTCTGGAACTTGGCAGCTTCAGCTACTGAAAATTCTTTCATCTGTGGTTTGTTTTCCTCCAGTGGAGCTAAAAGTGACACCAGTTCATCCTGCATAAAATTAAAAAACAAAACAAAACAGTAACTCATTCAGCATAATGAAAAATCCCCTAACATGCTTTGTGATCATGATAGTGCCAGGCAGATAGGAAATCAATGGTGTCTTTTCCCTTCACTGGGCCTTCACTTGTGCAGTTCTTTCCCTGTGAGGTGCTGTTTCCCAGCTGGGGCTGCTACACCAGCCACCCTCTAAACTCAGTTTATGAAGGAGAGTTGGAATGAGAAAAATAGGCCATATCTCAAACAGAGGGCGGATGTCGCAAATCACCCTAAATCAATCTAATAAAGCAGCAATTACCTTAGCATTCTCTTTTTCTGTAGGATCAGAATCAGTAGCACCAGGTTCCTTGGAAACCCTTCAGAGTGAAAACATACAATAAGACATGAGTTTGGTTCTTTGAAAAATCCTGCAACATGATCAACTCCGCATACTAAGTGTATTTTACCTGTATACTTAAGAATCAATCTTTGTTAAAAACAAAACAAAGCTTTTAGTTATCTTCTCTGCCTCTGCTTCTCTCTTGAGTGATGACAGCCAAAAATTTCACAGGGGTTAAGAATGATTAGACACTTGGTAGGCAAATTTCCTCTCTCCAAAGCTAACTAAAAAACCAATTACTGATTCTCATGATTTTTGCTACATAAAGTGAGTGATACTAACATGATAGTAGGAAATAAGGCGGAGAGAGACATGGTCTCATCTTCACTGTCTATCACTGATTAAACAATAAACTATGCAATTAAAGATGACAAATTGGCTCCCACACATATAAACAACATATTTAAAAGACCCCATTGACCACCTTTAACTCTAAACAACATAGGACATTCCTAAGACTAAAGTATTGATAGACTATGCTGGCTGGTTGTATGCCAACTCGACAGAGGTTAATGTCATAAAAAAAGGAGGGAGCCTCAATCGAGAAAATGCCTCTATGAGATCCCGCTGTCGGCAACCCTGTATAGTATTTCCTTAATTAGCGATTGATAGTGAAGGATCTAGTCTATCCTTGGTGTTACCATCATCCTTGGGCTGGTAGTCCTGGGTTCTATAAGAAAACAGGCTGGGAAAGCCATAAGAAGCAAGCCTGTAAGAAGCATCAGCTCCTGCCCTCCAGGTTCCTGCCCTATTTGAGTTTCTGTTCTGACTCCCTTCAGAGATTAACAGGGATGTGGAACTATAAGCCAAATAAAACTTTTCTTTCCCAATTTGCTGTTGGTCATGGTGTTTCACCCCAGCAATAGTAACCCTAATTGAGCCAGCCATCATCTATAACGTGAGTTTCTATTACAGATTCCTTTCTTTTCTCACAACTGTCTGAAAGGATCCAAATGGGCAAGTGTGTGATACACTGACTTCTGTACTCCTAAAATAAGAATATAGTTTGCATTGATTTGGAAATGAAATGTGCCCTTTGATTTGAGCCCACATACGGAGCAGAAACCTGGCTTCCCTTTCCATCTTGAGCTAGTGTTCTTGGAATTCTCTTTTGAGTAACGTTCAGCAGCAATTATATATGGATCCTCACTCAGTCTTTGGAAAGTTTAATCAGAGCTGCAACCGCAGATGCGCCAGCTCTGAGCTTCTGAGACTGGAAAATATGCAGTGAGACCCAAATAGTAACTTATATGGAGCTTGATTATATGACGGGCCAGAAACAGAGCCATGACCTGAGGGGCCATGGGTGCCCTGGGATGAGGGAGAGGGAGAGGGAGAGGGAGAAGAGGTTCGTCTCAAGGACATTACTCACAGGTGTACGAGTTCAGACAGAAAGAGCCAAGAGGAGAGAGAAAATCATTGGAAGTGCTTTCCCTGTGTCACCCCAGGGCCAACAGGACCCCCTTGTCAGGGTGGAAGGGGAAGGTGAAAAAGTGCTGAGGCATGCAGCTTTTTTGTCTGCCCCATGATGACCATGACCACTTTCTAAAGAAGGATGGAGGGACAAAGATGCCTGCCAGGCTGTGCAGGCCCAGGCTAGGGTGAAGTGTTTTTGCAACTTCAGTTTCCTCATTTTTTTCCTTCCCAAGGAGAGGCTGGCAGAAGCACCAGACTCTATGGCTATGTCTGCTTTCCTACGAGATACCAGGACATCTTTTTTAGGAACTGGCAGCCCTAAGTCCCTCTTCAGCAGGATTGAAAGGGTCCTCCAACATAAAAATCCGAAGCCTATGAAACCAGGCACTCCTGGAACAGAGACAGACTCAAATGATCAAATGCAGGACTCACCTATCTTCAATATAGGCACAGCAACAACTATGCTACCAAACATACAGGATCCTGGTGTCAGTCAGTCCTAGCCCTTCCATACCCCAGATGGATATGGAAGGACTTGTGCCAACAGGTGGAGCTGAGGAGACACCCACTCTAGCACACTGAACTCAGTTCTAGTCTCCTGCCTCCATAAGGACCTGGGGCTTACTGGCTTTTGTCAACATGACAAGCTAGAGTCATCTGCAAAGAGGGAATCTTAATGGAGACAACACCTCCATAAGACTGACCTGTGGGTGAGTCTGTGAGGAGGGCCCAGCCCACTGTGAATGATGCCACCCCAGGGCAGGTGGTCCTGGGAGCTATAAGAAAGCAGGCTGAGCAAGCCATGAGGAGCAAGCCAGTAAGCAGCACCCCTCCATGGCCTTTGTTCATTTCTGTCTTCAGATCCCTGACCAACTTGAGTTTCTGCTCAGACCTCCCTCAGTTATCTGTTATCTGGAAGTGTAATAGAAATAAAACCTTTCTTCCCCGGGTTGACTTTGGTCATGGTGTTTATTATAGCAACAGAAGCACTAAGGCTGGCCCTAAGACATTCTGTAAAACAAGATGTAAGTAGATGACAGCACAGGGCCCTCAGCTACAGAGACCTTCCTGTATTGTTGGTATTATTTGAGCACCTTTTAATTCAAACTTTGATGTTTGTCACAACTTAAATGAAGAATTCTGCATTTATCTCTAGTTCTGATTTTAAAATATTATAAAATATAGTCAGATAGAAGTTAAACATGTAAAATCCATTTGCATAAAATGATAATTTTAATTACAACAATTATACTATTAGTCATAGTAATTCAATTAACAATGTAAATGAGATTGAGGTAGACACTGAGCTAAATGTAAACTTACATATTAAATAATAATCTTGGATATATCATATTCCTTTTTAGATCAGAGGAAAAATAGTTGATGACAAATAACATTTCCAAGATGACACAGAGCAGGTTCAAAGGCAGGGGTCAACTCCAGTACCACGTGCCTCTAAAACCTGACTCTCTTCTCCTCATCACCCACATCACTGGTCCTCAATAAGGAAAATTAATTCACTGAAAGCTATTTTATCCACACTTCCCAAGTGTGGATAGAGTAAAATGGGAACCTTCAAAATTCACTACAGAGGAAGAGGCACAGTCACAATCAGCGTCACTCAGAGACAGGGTAACAAGAGCAGGCTTCAAAGGCGATTCACAGCAGGGACTACAGGAAAAAACGTGCATTCAGTGCCAATTTGCATTTAATGACTCAATTTTATATACATATAAATGTAAATTAATTTTGTGTCTACTTTCTAGGAAAATGTATATTAGAAACTGGCAAAACAAAACACAAAACTTAGGCCAATGTAGAATCAAACAGAAAACTGCAAACTCTTCACAAAGCAGGAAATTACTTTTTCTATCGATTTAGTTTTGTTTTGATAATTCACACTGTATTCTCATCACTGTGTGTTAAGTTCCAATGCACATGGCTCTCACATCTTCTGATCTCCACTAAGCTGGTTTTACTCAGAGGAATGAGTGCTGTACCTGGCTGGACGCTCTGGGGTCTGTACGTTTGCCTCCTTTCCCGATAAGACTGCAGCTGGATGTTGATTTTCCTGTAGAGGAACAGACCGGGATTCCATGTCTTCCTGTATTAAAAAAAAGTTTAAATTATTTTAAAAACACAATATTACATACTTTTCAGCTAAGTTTAATATCTTGTTAAAGCCAGTTTTACCCTCCATTCGATTGGGTTGTAGACTGCTGGTTGCCTGGAGAATTTAACAGGTTCCGGCCAATCTGCTGGATACCCAATCCAGAGGCTGGATTCAGTGAGCATGGGCGACTGGGCCACAGAAGTCTGTACAGAAAGGAAGTGTGCTGTTGAGTGTGAGAGAATCATCTCCTAACACCTACTTGTCATCCCCACCGCGGCTTGGAAGAGCTACACTGGCTCTCAGGAAGCGCAGACACCACCGACTGCTGTATCCTGACACCATAAAAGGTAAATACGGTGATTGAGCCTTCTACACCACTTCGAACCTCAGTCTCAGGAAGCATTGGGCAGACAGACAGATGCCACAGACACCAAAGATAAACTGCTGACTTGCAGGTCTGCATTGTCAGACCTGGGACACCAGCAGAAAGGACACTTTGGTCACAGAACTCTGTCTGAACTGGGGTGGTGCACTGATCAGGCCATTCTTCTCTGCCTGCCAATGGAAACAAAGGAAGGGGAAGAGGAAGATGGCCTCCCTTGTGAGAACACACACTGACTGTAGCCATAACATCTTTCACTTTAATTGCTTATTTTCAATTTAATCTTTTCTATTTATTTATTTTTTTTAGACTTTATACCTTTAGACTTTCATGTTGTTTTAACTATCGTGGTGGTTTGAGTGAGTATGGCTGCCATAGACTTACGGGTTTGAATGCTTGGCCCATAGGGGGTGGCACTATTAGGAGGTGTGGTAGCCTTGCTGGAGTAGGTGTGGTCTTGTTGGAGGTGGCGTGTCACTGTGGGGACAGGCTTACGGTCTTTACACTCAAGGCATGCCCAATGTAGCACAGTCTGCTTCTGCTGCCTGCAGATCAAGATGCAGGACTCTCAGTTACCTCCCCAGCACATGTCTGCCTGCATGCTGCCATGTCCCACCATGATGATAGTGGACTAAACCTCTGAAACTGTAGCTAGCCCCAATTAAATGTTTTCCTTATTGAGAACTGCTGTGGTCCTGGTGTTTCTTTTTATTTATTTATTTATTATTTTTTAAATTTTACATGTCCATCCTAGTTCCCTCCCACTCCCTCCCTCCCTCCCTCTGGCCTTCTCTCCCCCCTCACATGCACCCTGACCACTCTCCCCTCCTATCTCCCCACCCCCATTCCACATGTAGGGCTATGCTATCCAGGTGGGGTCATGTACATCTGTCAAGTCATTTGAAGCAGGGACTATGGTGTTTTTTTTACAGAAACAAAATCCTAACAAAGACACCAATTTATTTATTTTATTTATAAATATGAGTGTTTTGCTTCTGTATATGTTTGTATATATGGTACATGTCTGGTACCCTTGAAGGTCACAAAAGGGCACTGTAACCCCTGGGATTGGAGTTATGGATGGTTGTGAAGTACCATGTGGGTGCTAGAAAAATGGAATCTGGGTCTTCTGCAAAATTAGCGAAAGGCTGTCTAATAGGCCCAAGCATGGCAGACATGGCACAGGCAGGTTTTGACCTTTCCCCTTCCCTCTCCCTTGCTAAACTGTTAGATTACATTCCTAAAGCTAGCCCTCAAGGTCTGTTCCCTTGTTTGGCCACTGATTGAACCTGAGACTAAACCACCAAGGTCTAGCAATCAAAATTCATTACTTGGCTGCATTGGATAGCCAGTCCAATAAAGACTGACCAACTCACCCTAGCACAGACTGCCTTTCCCAGTAAAAGCCACTCCTTCAGAGACACCTGCAGCTGTCTTCGTCTGATTCAGGGGCAGCTCCATCCACTGCCTGTTCCTCCAGGGTAATACATCTTCTTTGTGCTCAGACTTTGGTGTGTGGGCATGCTCTGTGCCAACTCCAGGGCTCTCTACATTGGTTCTGTGACTTGGAGCGTGATTTGGATGGGTCTACAGGACCCCAGTCCAGTTCTTGTACTTTCTGGACCATAAGGTACCTGTTCCATTCATCCCACAGTGGCTAATAGGTGAGTTTTTCCTTACTCACTGTGGTAAGTTGGATGAAAATGGCCCAATAGGCTCATGGCGACTGGCACTAGTAAGAGGTGTGGCCTTGTTGGAGGAATTGTGTCAACAGGAGTGGGCTCTGAGGTTTCAGAAGCTCAAGCCAGGCCTAGTGTGTCTCATTCGCTTCCTGATGCTCGCGGATCCTGATGTAGAATCCCCAGCTACCTCTCCAGCACCATGTCTGCCTGCATGCCACCATGCTTCCCATCATGAAAATAATGGATTAAACCTCTGAACAGTTAGCCAGTCCCAATTAAATGTTTTCCTTTACAAGAGTTTCTGTGGTCATGGTGTCTCTGCTCAGTAATAACACTAGAAGACACCAGCCATCCTAAACATCCCCCAGGTCATCAGTGATGATCTCTGAGTATCCAGCATCGCCACTCCATCTTGTGGGAGTGAAGAAAATGCACCTCACCACAGACTTCAGCAGCCATGGCAGACTCCCTTGGATGGCTGGCAGGCACATTTCATTCAGTTTGGCTTGGCTGGAAGTTTTCTTTTTGCTCTTGCTGGAATCTCAAGTCTGTTCCTAACCATCTGAAAATCCTTTTTGACAGGTCCTAGATTTCTCCTTGGTCCAGTGTCCCTCTCTTGGTGATAGAGCTTGGGTGATGACCCCTCCCTCCCAGGGACCTCTCTATTAGTCATGTGAGAACCATAGGGACTCACTTAGCTTTGGTCCTTGGCTACCAGCCACCACTAGCTAAAGGGATCAGCTCTCTCCATTCTGAGAGATACACCTTTGGGATGTCTCCTAAAGATTCCAGTTCACACCTAACATTACTGGTGCATCTTAGTATTCAAAAATGGTCCTTATACTCCCTTAGATAATCATACAAAATGACAGCCTTTACAATTTTGTGGGCACATTGACCAATGGAAGGAGACACCCTTTCCTCCCTCTCTGAAAATTTTCTATGTCTCTATCTGCTTCCCTTTTCCCCAAGCTGTCCCCTCTCTGCTCCCCATCTCACGTACTATTGACCATTGAAACCTCTTCTGCTGTGACTGACTGATGGATGGCTCGGAGCTCTGGTCCCATACACTCAGCTTGTCACCACCCCTCCAACGTCTCCCTGCCACCCACATGCAACGCTGCTGCTGCCGGTGCTGCCATGGCCATGCAGCTCTAGGTGCCCTTCACTCTCCAGAAGCCCCTCTCCTGCTCCGGGTGCCACTGTCCCTGCTACACAGTGCCAAAGCCCACTGCCAGAGCCTGACCCCCCACACAGCTGCATACCTCTTCCTGTCCTGAAGGCAAGCTCTTCACCAGTGATAAGCCTTCCCAGCAACTCTCAAACGCCTGCCTTTTCAGATCTCATCTTCCACCTCCCTCCACGTTCTCCCTAGGAACCACAGGCAGACTGTGCCATCTCTCAGCTCTTGCCTGCGTGTGCCCAGCCTGCTTTTGCTCTCAGTTCCCTGCAATAGCTCTCTCTTCCTCCTAGGAGCTGCCTGCTCAGTTTTTTCTCTGGTGGCACTCTTCTTGCAGCTGACACAAACACAGGGTCCCCAAACCTCTTATATTTTGCTTTCTTCTATACTTCCAAAAGTCTCTTATCTCCACTTTCAATTCTCTTTTAACCACCAAGGTTCTCAAACTCTTCACAGAGCTGCTGAATATGCCATTTAAAATACTTTAAGTTCCCATTATAGAGACATGCCAGCTCCTGATAAAACCTTTTTTTATTATTTTTTCTTATTTTACATATTGATCCTAGTTCCCTCTCTCTTCCATCCTCCCATGCTCCATGACCACCCCCCCCCCCAATCCCATTCCCCACCCACACCACAGGGAAGGTGAGGCCTTCCAGGAGGTATCATCAACACCTGTCAAGTCCTTTGGAGTAGGGTCTGAACTCTCCCTCCTGCCTCTTCGCTAAGGGGGTGTCCCTCCATGGGGAATGTTCTCCCAAAGTCCTTTCATGCACCAGGGATACATCCTGGTTCCACCTGACAAAAACATTTTTAATCTCCAAAGAAGATTGGACAAAACAATTCCACTTGAATTGTGGTTAACACTAACCACTGAGAAAAACTTGTGCCTCACCTGCTGCCAGGGCTCTGAACAAACTAAACACTTTGGGGTCGATTGCCCTACTCTGATTGGATGTAGGCTGGAGGTGTAAAGGCATGCATCAGGATATATGCTTGCCCCTGATTGGACCTGATGGGAAACACTTAAGCCCCTGCAAACCATGACTTGGGACCATTTTCTGGGATGGACCTGGCCAGAGAGTCCATCCATATGGCCAGTTTTTAATTAAAGCTTGCTTCAAATTTGACTTTAAATTGAGGTATATAAATTGAGGTAAATAAAGTGATCTTATTCTCAACCGGTAGGATTAACATTTTCTGGAGGCCCCAGTGAGATTCAGAACACCCACCCAAATTCTAAAGGTGGACCTTCACTCTGCAGCTCTGGGACCGAGGGCTGCTTCAGGAGACACATGCCTTGAGACATTCCAAGACTCCAAGGCTGCCTTCAGTTCGTGGGCTATCGGAGGGGACTGCCATGCTGAGAAATGCTGCAAGGACCTACAGAGGTTTCCAGTGAGTCATAGACTGGTTCTGTTTCTGGGACATGAAGGGGGTTTGATGGAACCCCGATATTCTCCCACCCAGGGTAAATAGCAAGATATCACCCACACAACTGGTTCTCATTGGTTGGAAAGTTTTGTCTATTTCCCATGGAAAATTTTGTCTTTTAGAAAGTTGTCTCTACCTGTTTTCTTAGAAAGTTTTGTCTCCTGTGTTTTCTGGAGCGTGTGTTGTTTAAACACAGAGCAGAGACAGAAATGGGTCAAATATTTTTGCTGTCTCTGCTGCCACCAGCCACTACTCACCACCACTGCCAGACCTACTTTTGTGGCCAGGGTTCAGAATTTTCTGGACTCTCCAGCCACGGGATTTGGGTTAGCTGAAGTTCAGATGTGTTTTTGGTGTGGATAACATTACAGTTGTTTTATGCTGATCTGCTTTAGTGGAAAGATGGTTCTAGAGTTGGCTTATGGCTCTCCCTTCTCTGCACCCAAGCATATTTAAAAGTTTCCTTTAAGTCCTGTGTCAGTAAGAGCCACCCGATGCTGTGACGGAAAAGAAAGCAAAGCAGAC